GCTTTTAAATTTTTATTGAAAATCTTTTTTTTCCCCCCTGAAGGAACTACTGAACTTTTGCTAATAAAATTTATGTAACTGACCTTTAATCCTTTTGATTGCGAGGAAGCTCAGAGCTAAAAATTCTTTGTGTGATTTTATTTTCTGGCTTTCTTTTTCTTTTATTTTCCCTGATCCAGATTCCCTGTTAGTATTTATAGTTTATCATTTGTTTCATTGCATTGTTTATTGTCATTGCTTAAAATCCTCTGTACAACATAGCCGACTCATTGGAAAAGATTGAGAGCAAGAGGAGGAGGGGCGACAGAGGAAGAGGTGGTTGAGTGGCATCACTGACTCAATGGATATGAGTTAGAGCAAACTCAGGGAGCTAGTGAAGGACAGGGAAGCCTGGCTTGCTGCAGTTCATGGGGTCTCAAAGAGCTGGACATGACTTAGCTCCTAAACAACAAAATGCTGCTGCTCTTAAAAGCATGCTTGACAGAACTGCTGATGTTTAACCTAGTGAACTGGAAACCTAGAGGGACTGTAGAAGTCCTTGGATATTTGAACCACTATGTGGAAAAATGACTCCACATGCTGTGAACTGTTTCCAGAGGTCAAGACAAGCATTTAGGATAACAGGTTTGTATTTAATGGCAAGAAGAGTGTGTCGTTTGATAAAATGATCTGGGTCTTTGGAATTAGTCAAACTTGGGTTTCAGCCCTAATACACTTTCTATTTGTGTGAATTTTAGTGAGTAATATTTAACCTCAGTTAACTCATCTGTAAATTGGAGTTATATATATTTTAACTACCTCAGGGAGTCTGAGGATTTACTGATCTGGTGTGCATAAAAGTGCCTCACACAGTGCCTGACAAACGGCCCCTCAGAAAGCTATTTTGTACAGATAAAAAGAAAATATTTCTTAATTTTATATAAATGTCACATAGATGCATTTAACTTTTTCTCTAATACATCCAATTCCCCATATTATGCAGTATCATGACTAGAAAGTTAGCAAAGAACAAAAGAAATGTTCTGCTGGCAATGGCTGTATAAATTATATATTTATTATAAATTTATATATAAATAATATATAATATATATTTATTATAAATTTATAATAATAAAATATTATTTTTGCCAAACTCTGTATTGTTGTTGTTCAGTTGCCCAGTCATATCCAACTCTTTGTGACCCCATGGACTGCAGCTCACCAGGCCTACCTGTCCCTCACCATCTCCTGAAGTTTGCCCAAGTTCATGTCCATTGCATCTGTGAGGCCTCCAGCCAACTCATCCTCTGATGCCCTTTTCTCCTTCTGCGCTCAGTCTTTCCCAGCATCAGGGACTTTTCCAGTGAATCATCTGTTCACATCAGGTGACCAAAATACTAGAGCTTCAGCATCAGTCCTTCCATTGAGTATTTAAGATTGACTGGTTTGATCTCCTTGCCATCCGAGGAACTCTCAGAAGTCTCCAGCACCACAGTTCAAAGGCATCAATTCTTTGGCACTCTGCCTTCTTTACAGTCCAGCTCTCACAACCATAGGTGACTACTTTGAAGACCATAGCGTTGATTGTGCGGACCTTTGTCAGCAGAGTAATGTCTCTGCTTTTCAACATAATGTCTAGGTTTGTCATAGCTTTCCTTCCAAGAAGCAATTGTCTTCTGATTTCATGGCTGCAGTCACCATCTGCAGTAATTTTAGTGCCCAGGAAGAGGAAATCTGTCACTACTTCCATCTTTTCCCCTTCTATTTGCCGTGAAGTAATGGGATTGGATGCCATGATGTTAGTTTTTTCAATATTTAGGTTTAAGCCAGCTTTTTCACTTGCCTCCTTCACTCTCATCAAGAGGCTCCTTAATCCTCTTTGCTTGCTGCCATTACAGTGGTATCATCCACATATCTGAAGTTTTTGATGTTTCTCCTGCCTATCTTAATTCCAGCTTGTTACTCATCCAGCCCAGCATGTGCTCAGCATGTAGGTTAAATAAACAGGGTGACAGCAGACAGCCCTGTCATATTCCTTTCTCAATCCTGAACCAATCAGTTGTTCCATACTGTTCTAACTGTTGCTCCTTGACCCGCTACAGGTTTCTCAGGAGACAAGAAAGATGGTCTGGTATTCCCATGTCTTCAAGAGCTTTCCACAGTTTGTTGTGATTCACAAAGGCTTTAGCATGGTCAATGAAACAGAGGTAGATGCTTTTCTGAAATTCCCTTGCTTTTTCTATGATCCAACGGATGTTGGCAGTTTGATATCTGGCTCCTCTGCCTTTTCTAAACCCAGCTTGGACATCTGGAAGTCCTTGGTTCACGTAATGCTGAAGCCTAGCATGCAAGATTTTAAGCATGACCTTACTAGCATGGGGGCTTCCCAGGTGGTGCTAGTGGTAAAGTATCCACCTGCTAATGCAGCAGATGCAAGAGACCATGGTTTGATCCCTCGTTTGAGAAGATCCCTTAGAGAAGGAAATGGCAACCCACTCCAGTATTCTTGCCTGGAAAAATCCCATGGACAGAGGAGCCTGGTACGCTACAGTCCATGGAGTTGCAGAGTCATATATGACTGAACACCTGTTGTTTTGTTTTTACTAGCTTGGGAGATGAGTGCAATTGTCCGATGATTTGAACATTCTTTAGTACTACCCTTCTTGGGAATTGGGATGAGGATTGACCTTTTCCAGGCCTGTGGGCACTGCTGGGTCTTAGAGATTTGCTGACATATTGAGTACAACACGTTGATAGCATCATTCTTTAGGGTTTTGAATAGCTCTACTGCAATTCCATCGCATCCATTAGCTTTATTGACAGCAGTGCTTCTTAAGGCCCACTTGACTTCACACTCCAGAATGTCTGGCTCTGGGTGGCTGATCACATCATGGTAGTTATCTAGGTCATTAAGATGTTTTTTTGTACAGTTCTGTGTATTCTTTCCGTCTCTTGATCTTTTCCATGTTTACTAGGTCTCTACTGTTACTATGGTCATACAAATTATAGGTGAAATATTATTGTTGCCAAAATCTTAGCTCTGTGTACACCAATGTCAAATAAGAATATGAAGACAGAATTTTGAACGAAAGAGTATAGCTTTATTTCTTTGCCAGGCAAAGAGGGAACACCTCAACAACTGTACCCCCTTCTCTGGGGAATAGGGAGAGCGCTTATGGTCAGGGGTATGTGATAAGGATTAAGGCACTTGGATTCTTTCTTCTGCAAAGTTTCAGATGTCCTCAACACTGGATCTGGTATTCTCCAAGGTTATCAGCTTATGACCTTCTTTCTGAAATGAAGAATGCTACAAGGGAGTGTTACAAGGGTGTTGGCAGGGGGAGGGGGGAGGCCAGGTGCAAGATATAATTCCCATAGAGAGTAACTAAGAAGTTAACTTTATGAAGGACAAGCCTTGTTATGGGCACTAGATTAGAAACAGCTGAAGTAAAACCAGGATTGCCTAACTCTCACAGACCTATTCTTGGGGTTTTTATAGCCGTTTACTTCGTTTCTCTTGTTTGTTAGCATTAAAAAATCCCATTTTCCATTTCTGTTATAACAAATTCCCCACTGCTGGTTTATTTGCTCCATTCCGATGGAGAAAGAGAATCGGATATCTTTCTTGTTTGGCTTAGGAGAAAACTTCAGTTTTACTCCACTTGACAAATACCAGCTGTCCATGCTGGGGGCCCATCTGTCTCCTACCTTGTTATCTTTGTACACAAAGTATGATCCAAATAGAATTGTTATGAGGATGAAATGAGAATACATGTAGCACATTCAAAATTTTGTCTAGCACATAGTACTCAAAATTTTGGCCTCCCTCCACCACCTGCCCCTGCAGTTTAGATCTTCTCAGCCTCCGAGGCTTCCTGGCCAAAATGGTAATGGTCATTTTGCCCTTTCCTGTGCCGTCATAGTAGCTTTGGCTTTGTAAGATCTGCCTTTACTCATCCTGTTTGTTAAAACTCATGAACTTCTTTGGTTGCTCTCCTTTTCCTGTTTGCTGGCCTGACTGAAGTCTTTTTCCCAAAACAGGTGACTCTTCTTGAATTTTCCAGCTGAAGAATATGTAGTAACTTTAAAGGTAAATGAAAACTGAGACAAAATCATTTAAGTGTGCTAGTTACAAAAGAAAACTTGGCAATATTTAGGAAGTCATCTGCATGCAAAGAACTGACTCACGGAGGACACAGCAGTGTGATCCTCTTGTCAGGGAAAAGCGTATAAATAGGATTTGTCAGAGACGGGAGAAAAAAGTCTGTTTTTTTAGTAAACTGCTGATTATCTGACAGGTGGAGTTATTAATTTGTTTCAAGCAGTGAGTAGCGTTTAAGTTCTGAAACTAAGGAAGTCAATGAAGTAAGAGTTGATCAAAGTTTTGCCTGCCAAACTCTGAAATTTATTCAGTGAAGAGCTGACTATAAAGTATTGGAAGGATTCATGTTTACTACTTAGTTACCGAGATACCTAGAAAGCCATATTCATAATTATAAAGTTGTTTGGGGAACATGTAATTTAATAGTAAAGGGAGGTCCTTGAGGATTATTTGATCCAGGTTTGGACACAGTGATGTACGCAGGCTTCCCCCAAGAGACTGTATCTTTCTTGTGAACAGATATTAAAATCCACCAAACTCTCATTCCCTGTTTGGCTGCCCCTTTTCTAAGCTCATATATTAATCTCCCCCTTCTCATTAATGTTGTTATCCTATAAGTTGGTTAGAGCTTTTTTACCCAGAGAATTGTTTTCCTGTCATCATATTTCAGTTGCCTTGATTGGGCTTGGCTTTTTCCTAATCTCAGGCACTTTGTCATCTCTCCCATTTTTCAGATAAAGAATTGAGTTACTTATTATCAAAAACATAATTTTGATACAATAATGAATAATGTGTCCTTCATACTTAAAGACTTTTAAAATTATTATGCAAATATGTGGATTCATTATGTGAATGTTTGACTGTTGATATGAATTTTTCATCACTTTTGAGTACTTTATTGCTTTTGTTTAGGTTAGCAATGACGAGCACGCTGGAATTAAAGGAAGACAAGATGCTGACAGTTCAATTTGTGGGAGATGATGATGTTCTTAATCACATTCTTGATAGAGAAGGAGGTATTAAATGATTATACAATCGAAGGGATGTTTATTTAATGGTTATGTGTTATTTCACTTTTAAAAGGCTAATCATCTATTTTGAAAATATAGCACAAAGTATTTGATCTAGTAAGACTGCAAATAAATACTATCTTAATTTTTAGTTTATTCCATTAAAAATGTATTAAAAATAGGGGGACTCCCCTGATAGTCCAGTGGTTGAGAGTCTACCGTGCAATACAGGGGGCCCGGGTTCAGTCCCTGGTTCGGGAACTAAGATCCCAAAAAAACAAATTTAAAAAATTAAACATTTAAAAAAATTAAAATAAGCAAATTAAAAATAATAAAACCTCACCTCACATGAAATATTCAGCAGTGGTGGTAAGAGATAAGATAACCATCCACTGTAATTAAAATGTATAGTTATTTTGAGCCCCCAAAATATATAATTTCTAGGTTTTTTTTTTAACTTATACAAACTTACACAAACTGTGATTTCTCTTGAATCAAAGAGAAAACACTGAATTTTTTTCCCACTTTTAAATAATGACAATGTAGTAGTATAGTTTATTTATTTAAATGTAGTGTTTACATTTAAAAGAATTTATACTACCTGTCATGTTCTAATTCTTTGGATGTTTATATAGGACCTAAAATAAAAAAGGATCGAGTCCAGCTTTTGGTCAACACAAAAAAAGTAATGAAGAAGCCAGAAAATGAGTTGGAGGAAGATGACCAGGAAATTTTAAAAGATCAGAACTACATTGACGTTCTAGGACAAGATGTTCAAGGTATTTGCAGGGTAGGGGTGGTGAAGTTGGGAATGTACCCTCAAATTTCTGCAGGTAGCTAAAATTGCTTTGCAGGTTACATAAAAGTAGTCCTGTTGGTTAGGTAGCGTTTTGCTACAATTTTTTCCCAATTTTTTAAATTATAAAATACACATGTTAATAACAACATTTACCATCTTTACCAATTTAAGTGTACAATTTAGTTATATTAAATACATTCATAATATTGTGCTACCATCACCATTGTCCACCTCCAAAACTCTTTTTGTCTGGCGTGCTATATTATTTCTCATCATAAAAGCATTCCTTTAGATTCTTTCTCTGCAGTTGGAAAGATTGAAGCACTGAGTTTCTACTATAGACTTTTTAATAAACAAGTAGTCTTGTTCTTACTTTAAGAAAGATAGAGTCTACTGACCTAGCACTCTAAAGATATTTTTTAAAAGATATTTGTACTTTTAACTAATTTGAAATAATTTCATAAAGCAAGTCACTTTATTATTACCTTGATCATCTTTACAGAAATAGATAGAAGGATTATTCCAAGAAGTAATGTGTTCCAACTAGGCATACTAATGTTATATTTTTTTATACCTAAGCCAGATTCCTGCCAGATCATGCTTAAAAATGTTAGGCTTGAATTATAATTTACTTTAAAATGTTTACTTGAAATTTAAGTAAATTATAATTTACTTAAAAATGTTATGCTTGAATTATAATTTACTTAGGACTCAAAGAGCACAGATTTATATTACAGTGCAAGGAGCACGGACCTGCTTAAGTTGACTTAAAAGAAAATTAAGATCAAGGAACAAAATCAGTACTGCTGGGCACTGGGGCATTGGATCTAGGAGCAAAGTCTCTGCTCTCTCGGGTCTCCTGGTCTCCCTCATGTCGCCTCTGCGTCAGTTCTGTTCTGTCTCTGCCACCCGCCTCCCTGATGTATGTGCCCTTTACCGTCTCATACTTGACTTATAAGTGCTCATTGTGACTACTCCTGACCTTTTTGTCACTTCTTGAGTGATACCGCTTTTGGATTTTTTCCCAGTGTTAAATGACATGATGCAAAAAATGACCACTACCCCCAGTAGGCTTAGCAGGCAGGGTCGATTGTCATGCAGGTATCCCTAACTAGACAGTTGACACTTTTAGCAGTTGTTATTTTTAAAGGGAAAATTAAAGAATGAAATTAAGTCAGGGTCTTTGTTGAGAGAAAGAGAACTTCTGTCATATGACTATTTTTGAATGTATCTGTGAATAGCATGTTTTCTTTGTTTTAAAATTTAAACAGTATCATGGTCTATTGTGTATTTTAAACATTTTATTTATAAATACATATTGTTCAACCTTTATGCAAGACAGTGAGGGGTACATATCCTAGGTTTTTAGGTAAAATTTTACCATTTTTTTCTGTTAATTAACCTCACCCATTTTTCTTGCATCCTTTTTTTATGTTGCATTTTTTCTTTCAGAATCCTTGAAAAATGGCTCTGCTACAGATGGTGGGAATAAAGTTTATTCTTTTCAGAATAGAAAACACCCTGAAAAGATGGCTAAATTAGGTATGTTGCTTTTTTGACTTCTGTAATCATTATTCATCTTTTCCAAGAAGGTGTGTTTAACCACATTTCCCACAGTTATCACCCCATTGCTTTCAGTAAAAGAATGATGAGGGATGTCATTTTATATTACATATTCAAGCATACTTAAAGTCATTAGTATTTTTTCATACTCAGATGTCTTCTGTTCTCAGCTAGGTTCTAAGCTTATAGAAACCTTGTCTTAGATTCCTTTCCACAACATCTAGCACAGGTTCTAAACATTTACTTCTTTTGTTAAGTGAGTGACTTAAGTTGCACAGAAATATTCTGAATTTATTGAAAATAAGAGTTTTACACTATATGTAGAAGAAAAATGTTGTTTGTACTAGAGAAAATTATTTATATAAAATTGTTAGGAATGAGCTGTTCTAATATTTTTCTTACCCAGGTTACCAGTTATACTAATTACACGTGAATTACTGAGTTTCAGAGAACTGAACTTTAGTTAGATCCTGTGGCATGAGGGATCATCAGTTTTGACCATTTTGAGGAAAGGAAATAACATGTGAAAGCATTTTAAAATTAAGGCGGCCCGTAAGTATATGAAAGCTTGAGAATACCAAAAAGTTAAGAGCAAAGGGATAATAATTAACTGCCTGGCAAAATGTAGTTGTTTGTATTAATATAAAAGGACTTATAATCTGTAATTATAGAACATCTATATATATATGTGTCTTAGGTGACTTATTTTTATATAGTCATTGTAAGCAGTGATCATTTAAATGGTCAAGGTAAAAAAATCACACGTGTTGAGTGTTAAAACTGATGAGGGACATATAAAAAGTAATTATATTGGTAAGACCTGTGTTTCTGAACATAATAAAATTTAAACATTTGTAAAATTCCGTTTTCTGAAAGATACTATATGCATCATTAATTTTGAACCTAACATGGCACATATAATAATTTGCACTGATTGATGTTTTTCTTAGAGTTTATTATCTACATCTAGAAATTAAAAAAAAATTTTTTTATACAAATTAACTTATTATTTCCCTGGTGGTCCAGTGGTTAGGACTCTGCACTCCCTGCGCAGGGGGCACAGAGTCTGATCCCTAGTTGGGAACTAAGATCCCACATGCTGTACCATTAGGCCAAAAAAAATGAAAATAGACACTAACCTACAGTAGAGGAAATACTGAGTATGCTCAGGGGCATCCTTGCCAGCAAGCCAGGTGCAGTGAAGGGAAACTTAGTATGACCATAAGTTTGTAAAATTATTTCCACAGTGTTTGTGATGTAAGTTAAGTACAGAGTTAAGGTTCTAGGAGACCCTAGATGGTCAAAAATAAAAAGACCAAATGAACTTATTTACAAAACAAATAGAGTCACAGAAATAGATAACTAGCTTATGTTTACCAAAAGGAAAAGTTGGGGGAAGGATAAATTAGGAGTCTGGAATTATATACACACTAATACATAAACTATATTCAGTATTTTGTAATAACCTGTATGTGAAAAGAATCTGAAAAAAAAAAACACGGAATCACTTTGCTGTGTACCTGAAACTGACACACCATTTTAAATCAACTGTCCTTCAATAAAATGACCGAATTCTATGTTGGATCTCTGAGAAACCAGAGGAAAATCCTGAAATAATTATTAGAGGAAAGATCAGATAGACACCAAAGCCGTAATGAAACCCTAAGGACAGTGGGGCATTGGAGAAAGAGGAGAACTAATAGTGAAGAGAAGAATGGAACCTTAGTGGGACCATCAAGCAGAAGTTCCATGCACATCTTCTATCTGTATGCCCTGCGAGGAACTTAAGTATTATTATGATGGGCATTTCTCTTCACCACATCTGAAAGAAATATGCAGTCATGAAAAGGTAGCTTTTTGGATAATATGACTGATCATACTATCCAAAAATCTCTGTTTAGTTATGATGCTCTTTGACTCATTAAGTACTTTTGCTAATTGGGTTTACATCTAAACATGTCGATAAAATAGAATGCCTTCATATTTTTAAATAAGTGATCGGTTAGAAAATCGGCATTACTCTGAGTATAAAAGATGATTAAATATAATTGCACTAACCAAGATATAGTTGGGCTAGAAATTGAGTAGGAGTTCGTTTAGAAGGCTTTGTGAACTACAGAGAACACTTGTGAAATTGAAATTAATTTGGTCAGATAGGATCAGATAAAATCAGAGGAGAAGTTATTTTTAGGCAGAGAGGAATTTTTTTAATTGGTTGACTTTTGGCTGCACTGGGTCTTCATTGCTACACTCGGGCTTTCTCTGGTTGCAGTGCACGGGCCTCTCATTGCGGCGTCTTCTGGAGCGTGCAGGCTTCAGTAGTTGCAGCACGTGGGCTCAGTGGTTGGGGCCCAAGGGCTCTAGTGTGAGGGCTCAGTGGTTGAGGGACATGGGCTTAGTTGCTGTGGGACATGTGGAACCTTCTCAGACCAGGGATTGAACATACGTCCCCTGCATTGGCAGGTGGATTCTTATCCACTGCGCCACCAGGGAAGTCCCAAAGAGAAATTTTACTTTAAAATTTTGAATATGTTGCAGACCACTCGTTGTGTAAATATACAGTACAAATGAATAAGGAAAATGAAAATTAAATAAAATATATCCCCCAGTTGTTTTATTATGGAAATTACCATCCATACATGGGTGACTCTCTTGTTCCTTTTCCTCTTTAATTCTTCCTTTTTCTTCCTTCCTCCTTTTTTAATTTAAAGTTATATAAAAGCAGAGAAATTCTGTGTTTTAAAATCAGAACGATCTCAGCTAAGTTACTTTGTACTTTTGTGGCTTTTTGTTGACGTGAAGGTTTTTTCCCTATATTGTGGATCAGCAGCCTTTAATGCAAACTTGGCCTGCTTTTCTGGTGTAAAGAGAAGGCAAGGCCTGAGCCTTAGATAGATTGCTTGGGAGGATGAGGACAGTGAAGAAGAGATGAAATAACTACCAACAATAGCCAGGGAGCAGAATAATACCATGGAACCCAGATGGAGGAATAATTTCAAAGAAACATTTTGTGAACTGTAATGAATGATACAGAGGACCGAGGAGGTTAAGAAAAAAGTAGCCAGTGCATTCGTGGGGACTGCATAAATATGCAGTCAGTTCCAAGATTGGAGGATAGAGCTGTGCGAATTAGGTTAAAAAGAGTTTGAGTCAGTAAAATGGTTTTAACTTAACAAATCCAACTATATTTTGTCTTTAAAGAAAAAGATAATTTAAATAGTGTATACTTTTTTCCTCAGTGAACAATGTTCCAGTGTGTGTTATTGGGGAAATGTAAATCTGTTCCTTCAATTCCAATGTGCCTATTACAGTGAGAGAATGTGAGCATCTTTAACGATTGTATTTTTCATTTTAAATGGCCCCTGCTGTTCAGAAGCCAGGTATTTCATCTGATGCTCAGTTGAAGAAATGCCCTGTTTAATGCTATAGCATATTTTATACATTATTACTATGTGTTATAGAGTTTTAGACATAAATAATAAAGTAAACCATGCTTTTGGAAGATTTGAGAGCTTTAAAATTAGTATAATTTTTAATTTATATAGTTTTAACTTTGGATTCCACTCTCTGACCATTCTTTCCTATGCCCTTGCAAAGATGTTCCTCAAGTATATATGGTAGAGAAATGGAAGAACTGTAAGCCTGTCAGTGGAGAGGAGAAGGAGAGAATATGATGATTAGAGAAACCAGCAAGGTCAAAGTTAGCGCTTTATTTGTTGTGTTTTTTTTTGGCAAGACCTTGAAGGAAGACTGGAAGATGCTTGGAAAACAGTGAGTAAAGGTGGAAGCAGTAATACTCTTACCATGACTCGGTTTATTTATCTTTCTGATAATAGTAGCAGCAAGTTTTTTTTTTTTTTTTTAATTTATGTAAGTGAAATAAAGATACTTTCCCTCTTAATCTGTTATACATTAAAAAATTATTTTATGTATTTCTTTTGTCTATTCACAGCTTCCGAACTAGCGAAAACACCAGGAAAAAGTGTTTCGCTCAATATGAAGAATGATTCTGAAATTGCAGTAGACATTCCTCAGTGTAGCAAGGGTAAGATTTTAGCTCAGTTGTTTAAGGAGAGTTTTCAGAGTTGCTTCAAATTATAGTATACTACTTTTTTTTTGGTCTAAGTGCATGTTTATATATTTTCTATTCTGTTCTGAAAATGCATTCGGCAGATGCAGTTAATACCCCAACCTATGTGCTATAGTGTATTTAGCAAAACTACAAAAAGTAAAGGGCACAAAGATCTGTGCAGGTTGAGCTTGTACAAATTGACAGCCAATAAATACCGTGGTCATCTGCTGAAGTTAGCCAGGTGTTTGTGGAAGATTTGCTTTGGCAAATACTATTTGAAATAAGGTTTTGGGGATTTGTAAGTCTTATCGTTGATGGAGAATTGTGGAGCACTTCTTTTTGAATAACCGATTCCAACTAGATTAAATAGTGTACTATTAAAGTAATGAGCAGGATATTCCCTCATGGTCCAGTGGTTAGGGCTCCACACTTTCACTGCTGGGGCCTGGGTTTGATCCCTGGTTGGGGAATTAAGATCTCACAAGACACATGACATGGCTAAAATAATGAAAGAAAGAAACAATGAAAAGATGTAGTTTTTCTTGTTACATGAATGCCACAGAAATGTCACTAGTGGGAGCAATCATAAAATTAATAAGAACAGTTCAGCCTCTAGTGGAGACTTAATTGAGAATTCAGTAATATAGTGGCTTCTGGATAGAACTGGCAACTTTGTTTTTAATGAAATTAGGTTTTTATGGAACATGAAGTATTTGTAGTGAGTAATGACTTTTTGTTTCATTCTTTAGGGCATTCTGCTTCAGACAAATCTCAGTTGAAGGTAAGCAATTGACTAAAAATAAGCAAAAACCATAGTGTTACAAAGTAAGACATGATGAAAAATAACCATTTCACCTCTTAATTTAGATAGTTCTTTATCATTTACAAGTATCTGCTAATTAAGTGCCTTGTCTAAACTCAACAAACTAGGAACGGGACAAGCTGGAAAGTGGAGCCAGGTTTTCTGGCCCCAACTGTCCTGCCTGTTCTGTGTCAGAACTATCCCTGGGTATTTTCATCAAGTAGAGTTGGCTTGGAAATTTTACAGTTTGGTTTGGTGTTGCTTTTATATGTAATGTGTTTTTTGGGGGGGGGGGGGGAATTAATCCCAAAATCCACTAAATCCATTAATCTATCCCCCTATCATTTATGTTTGAAACTCAAGTTAGCTTTGGTAAATTCATTCCGGGTAGCAGACAGTAATGGAAAGTTCATCCTCTCCTTTGTGTTTTTGTTCTTTCATAATATGTCACGTGGCCCTGCCTAGATGTGGGCAAGCTCAGGTAGGCATGGATGAATCCAGGATAATGAATATGTGAGTGGTGAGTGTTTCCAGGCCTAGGTGGTTATAGATTTAGACATGTCTGGACTTGTGTACAGGTTCAGTTCTGGGAACCCCTCATAAAATTTTGAGTATAGACTTTCAGGGCCATCGCTGTAGCCTGTGCAGGAATGTCCTATTTTAGGCAAGTGTAGGTGTGAGGCTAGGCATGTCAGAGCCTCCCGTGCCTTTGATAATGCTTTTTTCCCCATATCACATCTTGTATCGCTATAAAAGAATAAAGCTCATTCTCATAATCTCAGTCAATGACTTAGATAAATTAGCACATTCTTTTTTAAGTTGTGGATCACAACTTAGTGGATCTTGTTGATTCCCTAAGACCTGGCCAGAAAATCTGTTAATCAGTGGTATATACCCACCACAATAAGAGACCATCACCCTGAGAGAATCTTAGTGTTTTATCTTAGAAGGGGTCAGTCAGGAGAGAATATGTACAGGGCTTTGGGCTCTGGCCTCCAGGGTTTAAGGCACATCTGTCAAGATGGGAAACTGATCTGTATTAGACAAAAATTCATGGCATAGTATTTTAGGATTAGTGGACACAGTGAGGAGAGGGTTTTAAACTGAGTTTTGTCCAGGGTAGCAGACAGTAATTGACATTTACTTATCAAAATTTGAGTTTTGATAAGTAAACAAGCAAGCAAGCTATTTGCCCTGGTTAGTAATCTGCTATCCTAATGGGAGAATAGATTGCCCAGATGAGCAAACTGTCAGGATAAATTAGTTGCAGAAATTTCTGTAGAAAACAGTGAAGTTATTTACTAGTTTATAGCCTTACCTTTTTGAGCAGGAATTTTCTGAAATGATTATTTTGACACAGATGTTCTCAGACCTGATAATTAAGCTATGTGGACATAGGTTGTCTCAGTTCTCAATCCAGAAATCAGTTTGGTAGGACATGATCTACAATTTTTAAAAAATGAAATAGGATAAAACAGGAAATTTCTATATTATAAGTATTATTATAACTTAACTCAGTTATAAGCAGGGTATTTTATCTTTTTATCAATACTGTTATCATGTATACAACCGTAGGCATTTTATTATGCAGCAGTTGAATAGTGTTAAAGTAATTAGATTTCGTAAAGAAAAGAAAAACATGTTATATCACTATAAATGTTTAAAAAATTAAAAATACAGGAGTAAAAAGTAGAAATCTCTGTTTCCGTCCTCACAAACTATTTTTATTTCTGGCTGCGCTGGTCTTTGTTGTGGCACACAGGTTCTCTAGCTGCAGCGCATGGACTTCTGTAGTTGGGGCATGCAGGCTTAGTTGCCCTGCAGCATGTGGGATCTTAGTTCTCCAACAGAGGGCGCAGCCCATGTCTCCTGCATTTTGGAAGGCAGATTTCTTTACTACTGGACTACCAGGGAAGACTCCTCACAGACTACTTTAACACCAGTCAATTTTTTGTACATTAAAAGGCCCATTGCTGTAAGTATAGGAATCCCATTTAAGCAAATCCTATTTGCTTATTCATCATCATTGAACAGTATTACCTTTTTAAAAAAAATATTCTGCTAATCTGATAGGTGAAGAATGGTTCAAACACTGATAAATTTATGCTTTTCCTTTACATAATAATAGAAGTCCATACTTTACAGATGTCTAGAATACAACTTATAGAATCACTCTAAGAATCCTTTGGAATTTGTTTGTATCATTTTTGTTTTTAGTCTCCCCCCCCCCCCAACAAAGTCCTTTTGTCATTGTCTTCTAGTTCCAGGAAGTAGCTCCTCTAGTTCTAATATCATCTATTGAAAACAAATATTTTTCTTTCCAGCCTTTCTTGCACCCAGATCCATCGTTAATTTCCATGTCATCATTATTATTTGACTATTTAAACTATGTTGCTTTTTTATTTTTGAACAGAACAATGATAAAAGTGAATTTCTGTCAACAGCACCTCGTGGACTAAAGAAGAGATTAATAGGTGTGTATTTCTTTTAATACTGAGTTTTTTATTAAAAAGCATCTAAGCAAGAGGCAATAATGGTTAAATATACAGGTTCTAGCCTTAGAATGCTTACTTTTTCTTTTTCCTGTCACTTACAGGGACTTCTCTGTGCCTCAATTTTTTTCATTTGTGAAATAGGGACAACAGTGGTACCAGCCTCAGTTATTTTGAGATTAATTGACATGAAGAATGTCAGATGTGCTTAGTAGTGCTTGACCATGATATATGCTTAACAGGTGTTAGCTATTATTATCTTTTATTATTATAACTACTTGTTGCTGTTTCTTTTCGCGACGGAAAGGATATGTTCATGTCTTCAACTGAACTGTAAATTCCTTAAGGGCAAGGAGTATATCTTATATTTTAACCCTTAACACTTGGCACCGTGTCTTTGACATTACAGTCAGTGGATATTAAGGTTAGTTAAAATTCGTCTTCAATATAATAACATGCTTTCTGGTTTATTTGCCTAAGACAGTTTTAGAAATGGTTCTATTGATTTATTTAGAAGTTTTATATTGAAATAATTCAAAATATTCAGTTATACTGAATACTATACAAAGCCAAGTAAACAAACATGAGTCTCACCTTTGGGGAAATTAAAAGTGTTTTGGGGTTTTTTTTTTGGTTTTTTTTTTTTTTTTTTTTTTTTTTTGCAGCACTGTATGGTTTGCAGGATCTTAGTTCCCTGACCAGGGATTGAACCCGGGCCACAGCAGTGAAAATGTGGAACCCGAACTACTGGAACTACAGGGAACTCCCTGTTTTGGGGTTTTTAAATGTTTAACTTTGGGGCAAATTTCTTGTTGACCTTGGTTTCCTAAAGATATCAGCACCTTTCTTGGGGTTGACTCTTTGACAGTATTAGCTGACATTGTTACATCCCTGCCCCATAGCTGTTCTTTTCAACATATAAAGTTGATGCTACATTTTTAATCAACATAAAATTTATACTAAATTAGGGGATATCTGAAGTAGTAAAAGATGATATGTGCAATTGTTATTATTAATTTTATGTCAAATACATCCCACATCATAATTTCCTCCTTACTTCACAGAAGAATCCTTTTTAGAGAAAAGGTGAACATCCTTTTCCTTCTCAATAACCATCAAATAAATACATCAACATGTATGATGTATTCGTGTAGATAGGATAAAGACATTGTCTGGTGCCTCCTACCACTTCTCACCCATGCGTCTACCATGGGCAGCAGTCACCAAAATCTGAATCTTCTAAGCTACATATGCCCACAAAATCAAGCCTTTTTTTTTTTTTTCTTTTTCAGTATCTATGTTTGTTACATGCTGACTGGATATTCTGAAGTATATCTACTCTTCAAAATAAATAGTGATTTGCTTAAAATTATTTATTTTGGAAGTTAACCTTTTATGATAGTTTTATACTTATTTTATTGAGTGTAAAAATTAGTTTTATCTTTACTTTATGATTATAAAACTAGCTTTACTACTTCTAGAAAATGGTTGGGGTCATTATGGTTTGTTTAAAAATATAACTTTTATATCAACTCTGGGATGGATTGTGCCTAGGTATTAGAAGTACTTAAAGTGATTGTCATGTATTTAGTGCTCTGTCAGTCAGGATGGCATTTTCAGGGGGCAGCAATGGAAAATTCTATAACAATTGCTTAAGCCATGGACACTGAAGTATCTCACATCATAAGAAGTCTAGAGATACACTGTTCATGGTTGATGTAGTGACTCAACAGTGTCATGAAGGATCTTCCTGTTCTTCCTGTCTTTTTGCTTTATTGCTGGCATTTTTCATCTTTAGTTTTGATATTTTATATTGAAAAATGGCTTCCATAGCTTTAAGCTATGGGTATAAGTCTTTGGGACCCCATGGACTGCAGCCCACCAGACTTCTCTGCCCATGGAGTTTTCCAGGCAAAAGTACTGGAGTGGGTTGCCATTTCCTCCTCCAGAGGAGGCTGACCTAGGCATCAAACCTGCATCTCCTTCATTGGCATCCCGCCGAGCTACCAAGGGGCTTTCCTTCCATAACTGAGGAGACTCTTTCCCAAAAGCTCCCAGCAAATTTTCCTCCAAGTTTCATCAGTTAAATATTTACGTAGCCAACTCTGGTAGCAAAGAAGGCTGAGAGAGCATGTACTAAGCAAAGGAAAAGAGTTAAATTTACTGTGATTATTTATTCCTTAGCACATTACCACATTTTACAATGACTTCTATTAGCGAGGAAGAAGGAAAGAACATAGTAGGTATGATCGACAATTTCTGCCTCAGTTCCTATGTGTTAGGCATTGTTAGTTGCTTTATATGCATTTCAGTGTAATCTTCACAATGTTTTATTAAAAACATTGTTTTATTAAATTAGGCATTGGTAGCCTTGTTTGATAAATGAGGAAACTGGTGCTCAGAAAACTTACAAGACTAGCTCTGCTGAGATCATCATCATGTAATGACAAAACCAGAAGTCACAATCTCTTACGTCAATGCCCACACTCTTTCTGATACCCTACAGTGTCTCTCTTGTCAAGCTGTCCAGTTTTCCCAATTACTTCTTCCCCCACAGTTCCACGGTCTCATTCTGACAGTGAAAGTGAATATTCAGCTTCCAGCTCAGAGGATGATGAAGGAGTCGCGCAGGAACATGAAGAGGACACTAATGAAGACGTACTGAGCCCAAAGATTCAAGCTCAGAGTAGAGTGGTTTCAGCTCCTGTTTGCAAAGAAACCCCTTCTAAGAAGATGAAGAGGGAGAAAACAGTAAGTGAAGAGAGAACTTTAACCTGAAAGAAATATTAGTAGTATCTCAAAGATGTGCTACCTAAAAGATCCAAATGGGAGGGTCAGCACAATTTTTTTTCTTCACTTTTCTGCATTTTCTCAGCCTTTCACATAAATTCCCACATGTATATTTCTGAACTTTGTATCCTGGCCACTCTCTCTCTCCATATCCATATATCAGTACCATAGCATATGCTAAAGGTGGCAATTCAGTTGACTGAAAAAGAGCTTGTTCAATAAATATTAGTTGGATAATTGAAGGCAAGACTTCTCAATATGTACCTTTTTATGTAGTTTTATTTTGTAACACTGTTGATGTATTCAAGTTAGCCTAAGTATATAATAAATGCTGTGACTCTGGATCCAGGTTGAGTTGTTTGGAGAACACTGCACATGACCTGAGAAAAGGCTAATTATCCTCTCGTTCTCTGTAAAGACTGAGAGCAGAGCCTACTGCTTGATACCTTTCTATTCCTTCCTTCCTTTCATGGAGGTCAGTCATGCCCCAGATCAGTAGAACACATGGTCAGTCAGCTTACTGGAACAGTAAGCAAGTCTTTTTTTTTTTTTTTTAACCTTGGTGTTGATATCTTTCTCATTTTCAGTCCTTCACCCATACTAATTAAAGAATTTGCTAGGACTGTGTGAGGCAAAACAAAGGTCCTGATATATTTAAAACCTTTTTTTTCTGTAAGTCTGAATGGGAATTATATGTTGGAATTTAGGAATCATTTTTGGACAGACTACTTCAAACTAGTCACTTTCTTCAACTTTTATGATCAACTTTTATGAGTAAGAGTTACTCAGTTTTATCACTGGAATTAATTTTGCTTGGTTGTTAATCAAAGCATTGTTGCTTCAAAAAGAAAATACTGACTGCCAAATAAAGAATTTCACTGATCCTGTTTTACACTGCTGTTACTATCTAGTTTTGATATAAAACAAATATCTGAAACTAAGAGCTGACTTTGCTTTGTCCACTTTCAGAGTCACTTAGTAGAAGAATATTTTGAAGCCCACAGCAGTTCTAAAGTTTTAACCTCTGATAGGACACTGCAGAAACTAAAGAGGGCTAAACTGGATCAGGTATGTTGCAATGAATGCTACTTCTAAATTTTTCTTATTGTGAGCTGAAAAATATACTACATAAGCAGCAAAATCTGAAGAGTACTATAATTATGTTTTTCTCTTATTTATCATTTCTTCAGGACCTACAGTAATCATCAGGGTCATAGTTTCTTTATTTTATTGACATATATATACTTGACTTACAATGTTGTATTTCTGCTGTGCAACAAAGTGATTCAGTTACACATGTATATATATTTTCACATTCTTTTCAGTATGGTTTATCACAGGATACTGAGTATAGCTCCCTGCGCGGGGTCATCGTTTCTTTGAAATCCATATACCATTAATCTCTATTGTTAATTTAACACATATATTCACTGAACCTCACATTGGTCATAAAACACTGACTGACCTGATTCTGAGTTAAAAACCTTGCAAAATGTAGTGGGTATTCTGCTTTCTGATATTATGGAAAGCCTGTCCAGTACAGTAAGGTAACAGGGTTACTATATACTATGATTCCAGCATGTCATATAAAAAATACCATACAGTTAGACTCGGGGCTTTATTCATACCTCACTAAGGCAAGACACAGAACCATCTGAATAAGAAAATGTTTGATTAGAAAGTGGGCTTGATAATTTAAGTCAATAAGAGATTGTTACTGACTCAGAGAATCAAGATTTTATTATTTTCTGAGAGTAGAATTCAGTGCAGTTTTCTAAGGGACTTTTGACAGAGTTTTCAAGCTATAGGAAAGAGGAGATTATTGGGTAAATCACTATGACCTGGATGACATGGTGCTGTGTGGTTGGTTTTTTTGGGCGTTTTCTTTCTACCTGGCTCATTGGTATTGCAGCTCAGATCAGAGACTAGCTGAAAACATGTGTCAAGAAACCACATTGTTCCAAGGAAGAGATGGCACTAACATCTTAGTGCATCTGCTTTTGTATAAGCAGCATGGGGGTGGGGGGAAGTAGATCTAGGGTCAAAGCAGGACTTCACAGGACCTAGAGACAAAGATCTCTCAGAGAAGGAAACACGTTACTGATAAAGAAAGGAAAGTCTTCCATTAATTTCGGACATAGCTGGTGGATGCAGTCTTAGTAGCCCACGTCAAGAAGCATTGATTTCTCGTGTCTTACAGTTAGCTGGGAGTTGGCTGGTCTAGGATTTGCCCCACATACCTGTCTTCCTTGTTGGACCTCCTTGGAAGGCTACCAGAGGCATGTTCTTCTCATGACAATGTCAGAGACAGAAGTGAAAAAACAGAAGACCTCGTAAAGCCTGGGCTCAAAACGGTCTCTGTCACTTCTGCCTCATTCGGTAGCCACAGTAAATCTCGTGGCTGAAGACGAAAGGTTGAAGCGCAGGGGACTGGGCTCACTTTGTGGGAGGGGCTGCAGAGCCACACAGCAAAGGGCGCGGGGGGAGGGCAGGTGCTGGGGCTGGACAGATGGATAGAGACTTTTTAAAGCTACCTACTTAACAGTTTCACTTAGAACTTGTCCTGTTTCTCTTTAAGTATGTGAATAAATAAAAGCTGTTGGCAAAGAATACAAACTGTAGGCTAGAGTGTTCAGAATCGTGATTGCTGCACTAGTCTTCAGTATTAAAAAAATACTTTACTCAAAGGATAGAATGATGAAAACACAGTAGTGCCAAGGTTAAAAAGGAATATACAGCTTTTTGCTAGTGTTTTCATTTCAAGAAATGAGCTGTGTTTAGTCACCAGGGCGTCTGGATTTGTTGTCAAAACTGGGAAGCAGGTTTAATCATCTCATGATGGTAACAGTTTTTTTTTAGAAATTAAAACCTTACATTTGGAGTTCATTGTCATGTAAATGGTTCTAGGCAAAACTTAGCAAATTCATTACTGTTGTACATGTTTGTATGTAAGAGTATATAACACATTTTACAAAAACAAATATTGAAATACTATGTATATTCAGTAGAGGCACTCATTACCAAACCTGATTAAAGTAGTATTTCCACTAATAGCCTCTTCTAACCTCGACCTGTAAGGGAATATTTTTACTTTGAATTGATTTGATGTATGTGACTTGAGAGTGATCTTCTTCCTGCCCTCTTTCTTTTTTTTAAAGCAAACTTTGCATAACTTATTGAGCAAAGTTTCTCCTTCCTTTTCTGCTGAACTTAAACAACTAAATCAACAGCATGAACAGTTGTTTCATAAATGGATGTTGCAGTTACAGTAAGTACTATTATCATTGCAAACCTCTGTAAAATAAATATATTTACATAATATATGTACATAAGTCTATGCTAAAATCAAAGCAGTTAGACATTTTAATTTTTTTTTGCAATGACCTTGATATGCATTTTTACTTACGTGTAAAAATTTGAAAAAATAGGTGTTTTCCCAGTTTTATGACCCAAATGTAGAAATGTTATTATATGACTCTTCTCAGAAATTCCAGTTTACAGAAAATGTGTCTTTTCTAAGTTTAATCAAATTTGAAAGCTTTTATAAACAGCCTTTCTTAGAATTATAAATTATTACTTATAAAAATATTTGAAAATATAATTTGTCAAGATTGATAAATATATCAGGTTTTATTTCAGTTTTTCACAGCCAAGTTCCTAAAATGAAAGAATATATATTTTTCTTTTAATCCCATTCTATTTACATGTACTGTAGATCTTCAGATTTCATGAGGTCTGTTCTATAAACATTATTTTACCATTTTTAAATTGTTTTTTAGAATATTTTTCCAGTTTTATAGTTTCTCAAATACTTAAGGTAAAATTTTAAACTTTCATTAAAATACCTAGAATGATAAAAATTAAAATATAGAAATTGTTTCTATAATTATTTTTATATTTGTATTTAAAAGAAACTAAGTATAAGGAAGTGCTTAAAACGTATGCTAAAATGTGAATGCAGTAAGAACATGGAAATTGCCACAGTTTTCCCCAGTTGATCCAGGTTTTCTTTTGCCAATAATAAATCAAAGGGTTATGCTAGTAAGAAAATTATTTTCTTCCCTGTTAGGACCTCACCTTCTCTGAGTAACTATCTATGGATCTGTTCATTATAAATTTATATAGCAGATCTTCACTGTAATCCTACCCCACAGCCCACCAATTCTTTTCTTTCCGTATGTCAACTTTGATAACTTGATTTGCTTTGCTTCCCAGCCTAGACCTCATAGTCGGCTACCTCAGTAGTATCACTAGTTCACTGAATTCCCTTGCTTTGTTTTTCCTGCTGCTTTTACCTTGCTAATCTCTCCCTTTGGGGATTTCTCTCTTCTTTTCTTCTATTTCTAGGCTATCCTGCATTGCTGCAGAACATCTCATAAATACTGTTTCTGATTGACCTCCATAAACAAGCATGGAGTTGAACTTTAGCTTGACACTTCATGCTTGATGTTCTGGGTTGTCTCATCCACTCTCTTGACTTCAGTTGTTCTTTGTATGTGAATAACTCCCATAACTGTATCTCCAGCCCAGCCAGAATTCACTTCAGCAGCAGACTTGAATTATATTGAAAGTGTCCATGTAGAAGTTCTATAACTAATTCATTATACATAAAATTTAACTTATCTTAAACCCATCATTTCCACTTGCCCCAACTACCTAGGGTAGTGAATATCACTTCATCATATAGTTGCCAAAAAACTGAGTTATTCTTAATAGTCCTTTTCACTTATCTTCCATGTCTAATCATTCTCCAAATCCAACCGATTTGATCCATAAAGCTCTTGACACCTTATGTTTTCCCCATGATACCGAACTCAAGTCCATAGTCTTCAGTTTTACCCTCCTTCCTATCCATTCCCCAATTCAGCCAGTATAATCTCTCAGAAAAGATCATGTTACTTTCCTACTTAAAACCTTTCACTTAACACCTGACTACTAACTTTAAATGATCATATTCCTTAGAATAAAATCCAATTAATGTCTTAGTTGGTTTAACAAGACCTTTTGTGAACTGGCCCCTGCTTACTTTTCCAGTTTAATCTCTCAATCAAAACTCTGCTTCAGCCTATTAAAATTTTTTAGTTTCTTGGGTCTAGTGCTTGTTCCCTCTTTCCTCCTATTACTTGAAGGGTTATAGGAAGCTCTGATACTTTGGCCACCTGATGCAAAGAACAGCCTCATTGGAAAAGACCTTGATGCTGGGAAAGATTGAGGGCAGGAGGAGAAGGGAGTGACAGAGAATGAGATGGTTGGATGCACCACCGACTCAATGGTCATGAGTTTGAGCAAACCCTAGGAGATAGTGAAAGACAGGGAAGCCTGGTGTGCTGCAGTCCATGGGGTCGCAAAGTGTCAGACATGACTTGGCAACTGAACCACAATAGGAGCTAGAGAGAAAGCTACTGAAAGTTGGAACTGCCAGCTTGATGTACAGATAACAAAATTGTGCTTTTTCTTTATGTATGTTGGGAATCACTATATTAATCGTTATTTAGCCATGCCAGTTCTTCCTGTATTCTTGATAAGCTTAAATTAAGGAAACTGGTTGATTATAAAATTGGCAATAAGTACTGAACTTTACTTTCGTGAGTGCTGTTTTTCTTACAGCCTGGGGTTCAACATTGTGCTTTATGGTTTGGGTTCTAAAAGAGATTTACTAGAAAGATTTCGAACCACCATGCTGCAGGATTGCATACATATTGTCATCAATGGCTTCTTTCCTGGAATCAGTGTGAAATCAGTAAGTTTTAAAAATGTTTAAAAAAGGAGTAACATCATACATATCCCCTGCAATCCATACCGCCATGTTAAAGAGGATGCTATTTCATATTCTGGAGCATTCGTTTTTAATTTTTACACTAGTAGGATTGCTTAGTGCTTAAGAGCACGTGTTTGGACTCAGAGGGTCCTAGCTTTGACTCCCCCTCCCTGAATTTCCTGTTTGGTAACTGAGCATGTATTAAATCTCAGGGAAATGTTAGCTTTGTTTACTCCGTTGACTACAAGACTTCTCTGAAGGATAGGATTATGGAAAAATTCAATTTTATTATACTTTTTTGTCACTTTGATACTCTAAAAATAGTAAAAATTTAAGTAATAGTTTATTGTTCTTTGATAATTTTTACACCAGATGCTCATTTCTCTTCATCATTTGAAAATGAATTTAAGCCTTTTGGGCTCTGGATATTAACCAATGTAATACTCATTTTTAAAAATGTCCTAAATGTTTGGACCCTCTTTCATTTGATAAATCTACAGTTTTATAATATTTCTCATATTGTTGGGTTTGTTTTGTATTTTCACTACCCTGCTTATATTATTTATACCTTTGCTTCCCCATTTCCTTTTAGCAATAACTTATGCCAAAAAATAAATTGTATCTACTTAATCTACTTACCTTAAAAAGTAGAACTTTTGAAGTGATTTTTCAAACTTGGTGGGAAATCCAAATTTATTTTTAATTTATTTTAAAAAAAGGCTTGACTTGCTAGTTGTGTTTATCCTAAATGACAGAATAAGTTGTAACTGATGTATCACTTGCACTTTTATGACATAGATACTGAATTCTATAACAGAAGAAATCCTTGATCATATGGGTACTTTCCGCAGTGTACTGGATCAGCTAGAGTGGATAACAAATAAATTTAAAGAAGGTAATGTGAAGAAGATGTTCTGTAGTTATAGGGTGAAGCTAAGCATGCACTTCTACTTGTTTGTGTACTAGTATACACAAAAATGTGGACAGTTTTAATAATGATATTTCTCTCATTGCTGATTTAGATTTCTTTTTTTTTTTTAATTTCTTTAAAATAATTTCTCCTTTCCTTTTCTGTGAACTTCACTTAACTAACAGGAAAGAATTGCTCCTGCTACCTTGAACTTATATAGCCAAAGCCTTTTTTTTCCCCAAAAGCTTTTACTTCAGAATAATTTTCCAGTTTTGTTTGGCTAGTGTAAAGTGCTTCCAGCCAACTGCAACATCTGTGTCTAATAGTTTTATATTGTTTAATATGTTTATAAAGTATCATTTCTTTATCTTGAGGAAATATCAGTGCATTTGAATAATTTATGGGAGAAAAATTTGTTCTTTTGGTATGTGTGTTTTGGTTATATGAACATTTCAGAAAAAAATAAAATTATTTAGGGCCTAACAATTGTCATTTAGTCATTGCTTAACAATTAATTGGGGGCTTCCCTGGTGGCTCAGATGGTAAAGAGTATGCCTGCAATAACTAGGGTTATTAATAATTGGATTTGATCCCTGGGTCGGGAAGATCCCCTGCAGAAGGAAATGATAACCCACTCCAGTATTCTTGCCTGGAGAATTCCATGGACAGAAGAGCCTGGTAGACTACAGTCCATGAGGTAGCAAAGAGTCAGACATGACTGAGCAACTAACAATCAAATGGAGTAATTGGTTATGCTTAATGATTTAATAGATGATTTTGATATTGTTTGTATGCTCATTAAAATAGGTGCCTGAGTCATTTTTAATATGTATATGTAGTATATAATCTATATTATAATAAATATAATCTATAATTTCTATTAAATATATTTATAATTATGTAAATCATAAATATTTTAGTTATGTAACATGCATGTTATCCAAGTTTTATCTTCACTGACTTTTATATTTTACTTCTCCGACCCGCTTCGTGCTTTAAGGAATATCCTAGGCCTCTCCCTTTCTCTTGTTGTTTTTGTCTCTTGACTTTTGTGATAACCGAGGTTTTCTATATTCTCTCTTAATGCTTAATGTGAACTCTTTTTTAGGGATGGAGATCCATCCCACCTTGCAGTTCAACATGCACAGATTCACCTCCCAATCTAATATGTATCTTGCCTCATTTCCTATGCCTTATTAAAACTGGTTACTTCATGGACTGATTCAAGTGTTGCCATCCCAGTTGTCTTTAACTGCTTCAGAGTCTACTGATTTATAATGAATTTCATTTTTTAAGAGTATAATAGTGTCTTGCCTGTTTTATGAGTGACTGACATATCTTCTCAAATAAATTGCATACCCCTGAGAATAGCTGTTTTGTCCTGTATTACCTTGATATGTCCTTCAATATATAAGCCTTGCATGTGGTGGGGACTTTACAAGTACTCACTGAAAATAATCATTGAATTCTCTTTCCTTTTAGATTCTTCTTTAGAACTCTTTCTTCTTATTCACAACTTGGATAGCCAAATGTTGAGAGGAGACAAAAGCCAGCAAATTATTGGACAGTTATCATCTTTACGTAATATATACCTTATAGCATCTATTGATCACCTCAATGCTCCTCTCAGTAAGTTGAATGTTACTGTTTTTTCTTCTTGAGATAACAGTCTTTGAAAATTACTATTCTTAATGTTGTTAAGTCATAGCATTTGTATTGTTTTTACGTATACATTTCCTTTGTTCCATGTTTTAAAAACACAGTTGACAAAATTATAGGTGTCCTCAATCTGATTTAGAACATAATTCTTGGAAATAAAAATTTAGATAGTAAAGGGTGTGTTTTATGGTAAAGTTTCTTGAAGAAGAGTAGACCCAACTATTACTTTGGTTTCTTTCTAACTTTTCTTTGTGATACTGCAATATTTATTTTATGCCTTTAGTTCAGAGACTTTGTGATAATCCCATAAAACAAAATGCTAAATTATTAAATTTTTTAAAAGAATGACTTGGTAGTGTTAATATATTTTAACCTGAACTTAATATACACATAAAGATTCAGATGGTGATTGACAATGAAATTAGATTGTGAGGTACTGATTTGGATGGGGAAATAGCAAAAATGAAAATTTTCAGGATTCAGTTTTTATTTAATGCTTTCTTGTTCTTTCCTAGAGTGGAATCTAGTAACAGGACAATATGAAAATAATTAGTCATTCTTATTTTTTTTGATCATGTACTCTAGTGTGGGATCATGCAAAGCAGAGTCTTTATAACTGGCTCTGGTATGAAACTACTACATATAGTCATTACACTGAAGAAACCTCCTATGAGAATTCTCTTCTGGTTAAACAGTCTGGATCACTGCCGCTCAGCTCCCTAACTCATGTCTTACGAAGCCTTACCCCTAATGCAAGGTAAGGATGAAAACTGTTGTTTCTTTTTTAAAAAAAAACTTTACACATTTTAAGATATGCCCTGTTAGGTTTGAATGGCAGTACGTAAAGTCCTTACTAAGTTTGCAGGATTAAGAGAAATATTATCAATGATAATAATAGTTGCTAGTACTGAGTTATGCATTAGGTAGACTACTCAATAGTAGTCTCAAATTGCCTGATAATAAAGCAGGGGTACCAGCATTTTTAATAGATTTGTATGTTTCTGAGTAAGAATATCTCAGTGGTCATCGTTGAGGAAACAGCAGAATTTTGATGGATTTTATTTACATGTGATAGTTATTTTTAATTACATATTGAACATTATGACTCAGACACAGGGCCCTTTACATAAAATAGCTTTTTTGATCCTCATAAGCACTCTAAGGTAGATGGTAAAGGGCACAGAGATTTTGATTCCTATCTATGTGGTTCCAAAGCTCATACTGTTAAACCTTGAAAATCTTTGTATATAGTGTCTCCAGTGAAACGCTTCAGCAGCCTAACCAAGATGCATATCTGAATTAATAAGAGTTAGTTAATAAAGGCTAAGAAAAGTTGTACATAGCATAAGCCAGAAAAAAATAAATTACATAATTAAGCTGTTGAAAAAGGCTTTTCAGTAGCCTCACAGGGAGGCCACAGAGAAACGTACAGGCAGGTCCAGAGCATCCCTTTCCCACCTACCCCCTGCCAGTAGCTCACACCGCAGAGCGGTGTTAAAACCAGGAGACTGACGCCGGCACAATCACAGCGTTCATCCAGATTTCACTTCTGATTCGTGCACTGATTTGTACGTATGTGTGTTACCTCTGTGCCGTTTTCTCACATGTGTAACTTTGTCAAGATATGCAGCTTTATCATCACAAGACTCCCTTGTGATGTCAACCCTCAAATGCTAATTTTAATGAATTTTATTATTCCTTAAAGCTATTTCTGTACACTTAAAGATTATCATTGCATTAACAATGAAATGTGTATTAAATGACTTCCCGGATGGCTCAGTGGTAAAGAACCCACCTGTTAATGCAGGTGACGGGTGGGTTCAATCTCTGGATCAGGAAGACTCCCTGGAAAAGGAAATGGCAGCCCACTCCAGTATTCTTCCCTGGAGAATCCCGTGAACAGAGGAGCCTGGCAGGCTACTCCCATGGAGTCGCAGAGTCAGACATGACTAAAGCAGCTTAGCACATATGTTAAATGGGTATCTAATCAAAATTTTTGATGGAATTGGGAATAGAAAAAATGTTCATTCAATCTTACTATTATGCTAACTCCTAATGGACTGTTGCAAGTTACTACATACAAACTTGGGAATCCAGCAATGCAAATATTCTCAACATGACACTGACTGCTCTAAAGCAATTATTTTTAGTTTGGCATACCTAAATGTCTATATGCTAGCCTCTGGTGCTTCTTTGGTTCATCCTGTATACTCCAATACACATTTAGTCTTTACTTGGTATGAATGTGATTGATCAAAAAATCTTCACCAAATTCAGCTGTGTACCAAGTTATAAAGTGGTCATTGAGATGACCCAAAATGTACTTATAGAAATTATCTTCTAGACTGTAATAAAAATGAAAATGCAAAGGTTTAAAATTTTTGCCATATCCAGGGACTTTTGGGAAGGTGAGTTTTGTATAACACTGCTTCCAACTAGTAGTTCTCCCTGGGACACTCTCCTACAGAAACAGTTCCAAAAACATGAAAAAATATTTATTATGATTTTATTTAATGTGGTGTTATTTTTTATTAATGTAAATTGGAAGTAATATGAACATCCAAAACCAGTAGGAAAATGGTAAGTTTGTGGTATGAGCTGGCATTAAAAACTGTTTAGGAAGAATTTTAAGACATGGGAAAATAAGTAAGTGAAAAAGTGAGGTTTAAAATGGTGTATACCATATATAAATGCTTGAATTTATGTTTTCACAGTGCTTCATTCCACATTGAGAAAGCAGCATACGCAAATATGATCTCCACATCAAATGTTAGTGGCTGTAATTTTAGGGTTATGAAATTAATATTTTTCTCTTTAGTTTTTTTTTTCTTCAGTTTTTATTATATATTCCAGGTTTTCTGTAATAAACCAGTCTCTAGTCTAAAAAAAAGTTGACCCTTGAACAACATGGGGGTTAATCCATGTCTAACTTTTCATAGTCAGCACTCCATATTCCACTGCATCTGCAGAGTCAACTAACTGGGGACTCTCTAGTACTGCAGTGTTCACTGTTGAAGAAGATACACATGCAAGTGTGGTTCAGGTTCGGTCACTCAGTCGTGTCCGACTCTGCAGCCCCGTGGACTGCAGCATGCCAGGCTTCATGTCAGTAGACCAGTGCAGTTCAAATCCATGATGTTCAAGGGTCAGCTGTATTCCTAGATTTTCTTTAAAAAGAAGTCAAAGCGCTTCTCCTTTTTAAGTAGACCAGGATATGATGTTCTCTGAAAAAGGAAAGGAAGGTAATATAAACAGGCTAAGTGTTTCACAGTCTTTGTGTACTTGACTATTAACTGTTATCTGTGGATGTTAATGTTCTGGATTTCAATTTGTTTTTGTTTTTTTCCTTAGGGGAATTTTCCGGCTACTAATAAAGTATCAGCTGGATAACCAGGATAACCCTTCTTACACTGGTATCCAATATTTATGATTAAATTGTGTGACCTTTGTTTCATCCCATAAACTCTTTTTCCTGGAATCTAATAATAGCACTGCAGTGTTTCACAGCAGTGAATAAATGGTTTGCTTCGTGATCACTGTGTCTGCCATATCGAAAATTTTCAAGCAACCCTACAGACACACTGCTGAGCAGGCTATTTGTATTATTTGTCAATACAAATTGAAAAACAAATCCAGTTTACTTCTTAAATTTCCTCTGCTAACTATGGATGTATGTCTACCAACTACATATATTTCATATACTGGGCAACTTAGATTTTCTTTGACTTGAGTGAAAATAATCTGTTAAACACGCATTTTAATAAGCATTCAGGGACTGCCCTGGTGGTCCAGTGGTTAACACGTCACCTCCCAATGTGGGAGTTTCAGGTTCCACCCCTCACTGGGGAGCCGAGATGCCACATGCCTTGTGGCCAAAAAACCAAAACATAAAGTAGAAACAATATTGTAACAAATTCAATTAAGACTTTGAAAAAAATAAAAAATAAAAAAAATAATTCAGTTCTCACTTGACTTACTAGTTCCCTCTTTTAAAAAAGTCAACTTTACTCACACTGTTTACAGCTGCCCATGAGATTATATTATACTTGGCCACAGTTGACTGCTTTCAACCAATCAGTTCTCATTAAAAAAATGTAAGCCACAGTATATAACACCTAAATATTCTCTAGTTTTGCTTCTTCGAGAGGTGTTTACTCAGCATTTACTGACTGCTTTGACATACTCGGGTGATCGCACTTTTTTCCTGTGTTTTTTAGCATGGGTATGCATACATATGGTCACGTCTTAAATACTGACTTATGTTCACATCTTTTTTTTTTTTCTTTTCCATTTATTTTTATTAGTTGGAGGCTAATTACTTTACATCATTGCAGTGGTTTTTGTCATACATTGAAATGAATTAGCCATGGATTTACATGTATTCCCCATCCCGGTCCCCTCTCCACCCGATCCCTCTGGGTCTTCCCAGTGCACCAGGCCCGAGCACTTTCATGCACCCAACCTGGGCTGGTGATCTGTTTCACCCTAGATAATATACATGTTTAGATGCTGTTCTCTTGAAACATCCCACCCTCGCCTTCTCCCAGAGTCCATAAGTCTGTTCTATACATCTGAGTCTCTTTTTCTGTTTTGCATATAGGGTTATCGTTACCATCTTTCTAAATTCCATGTATATCACATCTTCTTTTGAACTCTCCAGGACTTTGTTTTCAAGACTTTTACCAGCAGTGTCGGGAGGCATTCCTTGTCAATAGTGATCTGACACTTCGAGCCCAGTTAACTGAATTTAGGGACCACAAGCTTATAAGAACAAAGAAGGTGAGACTTTGCTCTATAACATTGTATGCCAGGAATAGGTCTCTTGTTTACTTAAGGACAAGTATGCCTATTATGAAACTGAGGTTGCCTTGGTGGGTCACAAGGATCCATTTAGGCAGTGTGCCATTTGAGTTCTGTAGAAAGAAAGTAGAAGTACTCCACTTCAGCATGGAACAGAAGACTTATGACTTCTAGTTCGGAGTAACAAACAGGCCATAGAAATGAGTCAGATAATCATGTTCCCTTCTCCTCTATTCATTAATCCTGTCTATGTGTACTGAGCACTAACTGTATATATTGCACAAAGCATTAGGATACAGAAGTTAAGCAAAATCTAATTTCTTGTCTCATAAAGCTTAAAGTCTTAATGGAGAAGATGGGCATTTGTCAAATAATCACATACATGTAAAATGTAAATTGTGGTTAAGTCCTATGATCAGGAGGGACATGGTTCTGAAAGAACATATTACAGTAGGTGGATTTGACCTAATCATGTGTATCAGAAGAGACCACTGAGCTGAGACCTAAAGGAAGACTAGGAGATTTACAGTCATCAGGGGGAGGAAGAGCATTCTAGGCAGGAGCAGCCTGTAAAGAGACTCTGGAACAAAATAGCAGCCAGCGTGACACAATCCTGTTTGATTCTGAAATAATGAGAAGTCACTGAGAAAACTGTTCTGACAGTGGTGTGGGGAGTGGGGTGGGGCAGCGTGAGGTGGGCATTGCCAAAATTCAGTGCACACAGGCCAGCTAGGAGGGTGTTGGTAGCCTGGGTGAGATGATGGTAATCTGGACTAGGTTAAAAAGAGAAAAGTGGTTGGGACTCAAAATGGACAAGAACTGATGACAGACTGGATATGGGAACCAAACAAAAAGAGAGTGTCAAGAGTGATTCCTGGTTTCTGGCCTGTGTTTTTCCTCCATAACCAGAGAGATGGTGGGGTCACTGGATGAGAAGCTGAAAGAGCAACATTTTGGGGAGATAGAATATGAGTTCATGGTCTTAGTATATTTGGACTTACTCCAGTTGAGGTTCTCCTGACATTTTCGAGTGGAGATGTCAGCTGGGCATTTGGATTCCTGGGACAAGATACCAGAGAAAATATCTGGGCTAGAGATAAAAGGTTATGATTCCTACATATTTAGATTATAATGGAAACCAGGCTTTGGTGAGACAGTCTAGGGAGAGAACATATAGTGAGATTAGAGGGCCAGGAACTAAGCCTAGTAGTGTGATATTTAATGGCCAAGTAGAAGATAAGCCTACAGGGGTGGAATAGCCAGAGAGCCAAGAAGAAAACCAAGATGTCAGAAGCCAAGAAGAGAAGCATGTTTTTAGGTCAGCAGTGTCAGGTGCTGCCGAGAGGCCAAAAAGGCAAAGACTGAAGATACGTAATGAATTTAGGAAAATGGAATTCCTTGGTGGCCGAAACAAAAGCTCTTTTGGTGTGACATGATAATGATGGCAGTAGGTAGGATGGCTTGGGTTGAGTGAAAAGTGAGGAAATGGAGGCCACCATTTATAGACAACTCTTCTGGAAAGGTGCCATGGTTTTATGATGGTTGCAGAGAAATGAGGAGTCTAGTGAGGACTGTTTTAAAATTGGAGATACCTGAACCTGTAGCCAATGGGAAGGATCCAGTTGAAAGGGGAATAAAAAAACAGAGGTATCAGTAGTGTAGCATTTTAGAAAGAGCAGGAAATACCCACCTTCTCATTCTTTAGTCTTCTTTTCCACTATAAATGGTTTAACTATAAACTCAGTGTATTTAATAGCTATATATCCCTGTGTGTCCCCTGGCTGCCCTTGTTATTTATACTTCTCTATTCATGTAAAGTATTAATGAAATCAAGTCCATTTTTTGTTTAACATTTCAAATATATTTCTTACGAATGACTAACATTCAGGTATTCTCACATCTTTTAGGGAACTGATGGAGTGGAATATTTATTTATTCCTGTTGACAATGGAATACTGACTGATTTCCTGGAAAAGGAAGAAGAGGAGTTATAAAGCACTCCTGTACTCTTGAAACCTTCAGTGGAAGATTATACCCCAGCTGCCACTCCTCTAAAGTGCTGTGTTTACATCCAACATTAGACTCTCAGTGTATAAGATTTTAAATGGGGAGGGGTAATGTCATCACCTAGAACCATGATTAGCCTGGCTGGTATACCATCCTAGTACTATGCAGCGGTCCTCAAATTGGAGAAAATGTGCCTTTCATTCATTACCTCTCTGGAGACTTGCTGGAAGGAACAGTGTGCTCAGGGACTGTTTGGAACTGGATGTTTTTGAATTCTTTTATACCAGAGATGATGCTCCTAATTTTTTGAGGGCCTCTTATCACTGTATTTGCAAATGTGCTTGTTCCAGAGTGTGAAAGTTACAAAGACAGCGGCATAAAGTAAATCTGCTTTATTTGCTATTCCGCGTGTCAGAACTGAAGAGTATAATGGAGTAGGCAGATCATCTTTTACTGTTTCTGAAATGGCTTAATAAAAGGTACAGGACTGGGGGGAAGTAGGTGATTTTCAGCTTTCTTCTTTTGGATTTAGGCTACATGCTGATGGAGGAAGGAGCATGATGCTATTCAGTTGGGAAAGTGGGAAAAACCTAACAATTGTATAGGGTGTTCGCCCATCCCAGAAAGCACATGAACAACAACAGATCATGCTCCTCGAGACAGTTAATGTTTGTGCCATCACATTCACGATATGAGTGAGAAGTCAGGCTAGAGAAACAAGATCCTGAAATTATATTTGTCGTTTTTTCCCCAGGCAACAAAAATTTAATTATTCTTGTATATCAATGTATTTTTTTCTTTTATTGAATAACATGCAGATGAATAGCTTATTAGTGGCTGGCTATAAGTTAATTTTATTTCTCTATCAAGTAGGCCCACCTAAAACTCACTGTAAGACATTTCAGTTTTTTCTTAAAGTGACAATTTCAAGCCTCCTAAATACACAACCCTTTTTTCTTAGGAAAGAAAAAAAAGGCTAACCTTGACCACTGGAAGATAGTCTTTACATACTCCCTGAAATGTTTCATACTTGGAAGTTAAATTCTCTGTCACTGTAATATACTGCATCAGCATTTCTCACTCATTTCTTATCCTGTAAACCCCTTTTACGAAAATATTTCCCAAAATGCCCAGCATTTTAAAAATCATTTGTGTCATATAATGAAGTAATTTTATATTAAATCCATGTATAAGGGGGGTTAGTCTTAACCATAATTACTAATCAATATTTAAACAAATTTGTACATGAATAGGATTCAAAAATGTTTTAATTGTACCAAAGGATATTCAGTGAAAAGTGAGTTTCCTTACCATTCCCTGATCTAGTCCCTTAGGCAGCCATTAACAGCATCTTAAGCATTCTTCCAGAGGTAGTCTATGCACATCTAAGGGTATTTGTCTATATTTCTCCTTTTGAAAACACAAATGGTGGCATATGATACTTGCTGGTTTGCACCTTTTTTTTTTGCTTAATATATTTAGTTTATAATAACTTACAATATATAAAAAAAGTATACAAAGTCTTTAATGACCTACTGTGAAACTGCATTTGCCCTTAAATTTATCTACTGGTTTATTTTTATATTTTTTATGTCTATACTGTCTGCAAGCAATATGTGTGAATAGTCTACTATTAATAAAGCAATTTGGATAGAACTTTTTTTTCTTTCATTTATAGTACTGTTTTTTTACTTACAACTTCCAGATTCTCTGGGAACTTTTTTTCCCCCCAACTTTTGGCAATGCAATACAGCATGTAGGATCTTAGTTCCCCAACCAGAGATAGAACCTGCACCCCTTACATTAACAGCACAGAGTCTCAACCACTAGACTGCCAGGGAAGTCCCATAAAGTGCTATTTTTTTTACTAAAAATATTTTGAAGTGCTTCAAAAATTTTATGAGTGCATCTTACAGCTCTGATAGTGATCTTGGCAGAATTATATGCTCTTCACTAACTTGTTCCAACATCAATGTAGCTTAAGCTTTATCAGCTTGACTGCTAAGGCTCCAAATTTCTGCTGTTACTTGTTTCTGGCAATATTAAACAGACCTGAAACCTTGAAAGATTCTTCTGGCTTCTCTTAATAAAATGGCTAAAACTGGGCTAAAAAGGTACAGGGGATGCAGGACAGATATTTGCACTATGCAAACTTGGCATAATACTGCATTCCTTATGCAGAGTTCTAAATGAGTTCCTGTTATATTCCATTAATATAAACAACTTTCTTAATATATCATTTGTCATTTTAATACATGAATATTTCATTCTTATAAAAGATCAGGCAATTTGAGGGGTGGTTTATAGATTTTGCTTAACTTAAAAAAATTACTAATGAAACTTTATCTACATTTGAAACTTCATCTACAGTTGATCCTGAACAACACAGGTTTGAATTGTGTGTCCACTTATGTGCAGATTTTTTCCAGTACTAAATAGTACAGTACTATATGATCCATGGTCCGTTGAACCCCCAGATGTAAAAAGGAAAACCAAGCATATACAGAGCCAACTGTGGGTTATAGTTGGATTTCTTACTGTGCAGAAGAAGGTCAGCACCCCAATGATGTTCAAGGCTCAACTGTACTTCAGCTCCAGTCAGTTGAAACCTGGAGCCAGTAGCATGTTCAAAATGTATTTTTCTACATACCAGGTTTTTGGCTTAGTCCTGAGTAGCTGTGGAGTAACAGGCAAATTTGGCCTTGGAGTACAGAATGAAACAGGGCAAAGGCTAATATATTGAGTTCTGCCAAGAGAATGCACTGGTCATAGCAAACACCCTCTTCCAACAACACAAGACTCTGCACATGGACATCACCAGATGGTCAACACCAAAATCAGATTGATTATATTCTTTGCAGCCAAAGATGGAGAAGCTCTATAGAGTCAGCAAAAACAAGACTAGGAGCTGACTGTGGCTCAGATCATGAACTCCTTATTGCCAAATTCAGACTGAAATTGAAGAAAGTGGAGAAAACCACTAGACCATTCAGGTATGACCTAAATCAAATCCCTTATGACTATACAGTGGAAGTGAGAAATAGATTTAAGGGACTAGATCTGATAGTGTTGCCTGATGAACTATGGACGGAGGTTCGTGACATTGTACAGGAGACAGGAATCAAGACCATCCCCAAGAAAAAGAAATGCAAAAAAGCAAAATGGTTGTCTGAGGATGCCTTACAAATAGCTGTGAAAAAAAGGGAAGCAAAAAGCAAAGAAGAAAAGGAAAGATACACCCATTTGAATGCAGAGTTCCAAAGAATAGCCAGGAGAGATAAGAAAGTCTTCCTCAGCGACCAATGCAAAGAAATAGAGGAAAACAATAGAATGGGAAAGACTAGAAATCTCTTCAAGAAAATGAGAGATACCAAGGGAACATTTTATGCAAAGATGGGCTCAATAAAGGACAGAAATGGTAGGGACCTAACAGAAGCAGAAGATATTAAGAGGTGGCAAGGATACACAGAAGACCTATACAAAAAAGATCTTCACAACCCAGATGATCACAATGGTGTGATCACTCGCCTAGAGCCAGACATCCTGGCATGTGAAGTCAAGTGGGCCTTAGAAAGCATCACTACAAACAAATCTAGTGGATGTGATGGAATTCCAGTTGAACTATTTCAAACCCTGTAAGATGATGCTGTGAAACTGCTGCACTCAATATGCCAGCAAATTTGGAAAACTCAGCAGTAGCCACAGGACTGGAAAAGGTCAGTTTTCATTCTAATCCCAAAGAAAGGCAATGCCAAAGAACGCTCAAACTACCACACAATTGCACTCATCTCACACATTAGTAAAGTAATGCTTAAAATTCTCCAAGCCAGGCTTCAGCAATACGTGAACCATGAACTTCCAGATGTTCAAGCTGGTTTTAGAAAAGGCAGAGGAACAGAGATCAAATTGCCAACATCTGCTGGATCATCGAAAAAGCAAGAGAGTTCCAGAAAAACATCTATTTCTGCTTTATTGACTATGCCAAAGCCTTTGACTGTGGATCACAATAAACTGTGGAAAATTCTGAAAGACATGGGAATACCAGACCACCTGACCTGCCTCCTGAGAAACCTGTATGCAGGTCAGGAAGCAACAGTCAGAACTGGACATGGAACAACAGACTGGTTCCAAATAGGAAAAGGAGTATGTCAAGGATGTATATTGTCACCCTGCTTACTTAACTTATATTGCAGAGTACATCATGAGAAATGCTGGGCTGGAAGAAGCACAAGCTGGAATTAAGATTGCCGGGAGAAATATCAATAACCTCAGATATGCAGATGACACCACCCTTATGGCAGAAAGTGAGGAAGAACTAAAGAGCCTCTTGATGACAGTGAAAGAGAGTGAAAAAGTTGGCTTCAAGCTCAACATTCAGAAAACTAAGATCATGGCATCTGGTCCCATCACTTCATGGCAAATAGATGGCGAAACAGTGGCTGACTTTATTTTTCTGGGCTCCAAATCACTGCAGATGGTGATTACAGCTATGAAATTAAAAGACGCTTACTCCTTGGAAGGAAAATTATGACCAACCTAGACAGTATATTAAAAAGCAGAGACATTACTTTGCCAACAAAGGTCCGTCTAGTCAAGGCTATGGTTTTTCCAGTGGTCATGTATGGATGTTAGATTGGACTATAAAGAAAGCTGAGAGCCGAAAAATTGATGCTTTTGAACTGTGTTGTTGGAGAAGACTCTTGAGAGTCCCTTGGACTGCAAGGAGATCCAACCAGTCCATCCTAAAAGAAATCAGTCCTGGGTGTTCTTTGGAAGGACTGATGTTGAAGCTGAAACTCCAATACTTTGGCCACCTGATAAGAAGAGCTGACATTTGAAAAGACCCTGATGCTGGGAAAGATTGAGGGCAGGAGGAGAAGGGGACGACAGAGGATGAGATGGCTGAATGGCATCACCGACTCAATGGACATGGGTTTGGGTGGACTCTGGGAGTTGGTGATGGACAGGGAGGCCTGGCGTGCCATGGTTCATGGGGTCGCAGAGTCAGACACGGCTGAGCGACTGAACTGAACTGAGTAGCTCTCAGAGATGACAGAAGTCATGAGAGTCTGCCTCATCACAGATGGGTGTCTTCTGTAAACCAAGGGATAGTCATGTACATGATTTTCTCAGGCTTTTTGTAATTATTTGATTTGTCCCTTGGGAGATTCTCCCACACTTTAATTTTCCAAATTGTTGTTAAGCCATGTTAATTCATGTTCTTTGAGAACTTATCATGCAGAAAGCTCTGTTCTAGGCAGCTGAGAGAAAATCAAGATATGAAATACCTAGCTGAGGTTTTAATAGCATTAAAAATTACAGTATCCTTAATGTGTTGAATAAAGTCAATTTGAAATAACTAATGATACGAAAAATAGAACTTTAAGCATAACAAAGCTTATTACCAAGTTTTCATTATTTTGGCATGTATCACTTGGGCCTCAAGTCTTCTGAGGTATTTGGTTCACCTGAATACTTCAGCATGTTTACTTTAACAGTTTGGAAAATCTGACAACTGAAAGTAAGGAATCTTGGGTGATTATTTTTTCTTAAACTGCATAGGAAGGAAGAAAAAAATAAACTACATAGGATGTGTCTGGGGGTATTTTTTTAGTTATTCAGAAGTGCAAGCAGGCTGAAAATGTATTACAGTAATAATATCGTTCTTTATTTGGCAATAAATGTGTCAATCATAAACAAATTCTTTGATTCATTAACTCCTCCTAAAACTCTACGCAAAGGGATTAATCCACAACTGTCAATTCCGAGATCCCGTCTGCCTTCATGAGTCACAGGTCAAATCACACCACACCTTAAGTGTGCTGTAACAAAAAAAGGAGGGTTTGAGAGCTACTGGCCTCAGGCTACTCCTTCGTCACCACCTGGGACATACCTTTCCTGCATCTCTCCAGGCTGACAGTTCTGAGAGATTACTCGGACTTGGTCCGCAGGCTCTGCTGTTTGTCTACTCCATGCGTGTGTTTCAGCTGTCCCCCAGAAGACCTTCCCTATAAACACCATGCCTGCCTTTTTCATAGTTAAGAGTTTACTGTCACCTTCAACCAAATTCTGTTGTATCCTCTCCACATCTCTATGGGTCCAGCATACAGAAAGCAACCAGTGAGTGAATGAATGAAGCAAATACCATTAAGACAGTCTCAAAGCTGCTCTCTCATTCTCGCTGCTTCGACAGACTTGACCATCTCATAGGCACTTCCTAGTTCTTGGCTCTGACACTTAGCTGTTCTCCTCTCACCTTTCCTCGTGGCTCCTCCAGCTTTACATGGGGGCATTTCATAAGGCTCACTCCTGTGGGCTCTTTCTGCAGTGAATCGGTATCACAGGTGAACCACTGTATTCTTAAAAATTAAGAATAATTTTTAAGTTAGGATCCCAAATCCTGCAGGAGATAGAAGATGGGTAGGAAAAGGATCCTACAAATATTAAATTCTATGCCTCCTCATTTTTAGACAACAGTATTTTAAAAGATTGCTTTTGTCATTACCACAGTAACATGCTCAGTGTAGAAATTGGAAATAAATATAAAAGCATTAAAAAGAAAAGCCTCTCATCATACCACCCAGAGAAGATCACAGTTAAGATGGATTTTTTTTTTTTTCCCCCTTCAGGATTTCTTCCATACCTCTTATATCAGTCCTGCCATCAATGTATTTGATTAAGATCCACTGCAATTAATAAGCACATAGGCTCTGGAGCCAGACTGTCTGAGTTTATGTCCTAACTCCATCACTTCCAAGCGACATGGCCTTGGGCAAGCTACATAAACTCTGTCTCAGATTCCTCATCTGTTAAAATGAGTAACAATACCTATATACTTGCATATAAGGAATTGAAAGTGTTTATAGAGCACACAGTGGCGTGCCTGGCACAAAATTAATACTGTACAGGTAATCACCAGTATTATTTTTAAAGTTAAAAATCTTTAATGAAATGGTGAGTTACCTAAAAAGCAATACTTACATGAATAATCCTGAATATTCATTGAACGACTGATGCTGAAGCTGAAATTCCAATATTTTGGCCACCTGATGCGAAGAACTGACTCACTGGAAAAGACCCTGATGCTGGGAAAGATTGAAGGTGGGAGGAAAAGGGGACCACAGAGGATGAGATGGTTGAATGGCATCACTGACTCAGTGCATATGAGTCTGAGTAAACTCCAGGAGTTGGTGATGAGCAGAGAAGCCTGGCGTGCTGCAGTCCGTGAGGACTAAGCGACTGAACTAAACTGAACACGAATAATGATCTTGTATATTTACAACAAAGAGCACTCATCCTGAGGGACACCCCTGGAGGTCCAGTGGTTAAGACTTCACACGTGCACTGCAGGACGCACTAGTGTGACCCCTGGTCGAGGAACTAAGATCCCCCATGCCACGTGGGATGAGGAAACTGAGACAAAGGTTAAGCAGTTTGCTCAAGGCCAAAAAACAAAATCTCATCCTGATTCTGAAATTGAGGTGGGAGATCAGTGATCTAGGAACAGGAACATCGAGACAGACCTTACCACCCTCCAAAGGTTACTACCTAGATATAGGTGAGCTAATATCAAGTTTTTAAAGTATACATATATAGACATACTTTTCTGAAAAAGTATATTTTTAAAATAACTAAGGACAGAGAGATCTAGAATGACACATCCCATCTATAACTGAGTTAAAGAGATGATTACTTGAGCTATTTCCCAAGGATGTTAAATAAACAGGTTTGCTCCATATTTCCTAGAGTTTATAATAAATTTATATTACATAATATATTCTTTAATTTGTCCTTTATATTTATTCTTCAGTGGTAATTACATTATAGTTTTTACCGTCTGAGCTACAGAACATCTGGAGAAGCAGATTAAGAAACCAGAAATGCTAATGTACCTTCTAAGATACTCTTTTGAAAGGATACCAACCCCACTGATTCATGTAATGGATTCACACTGGGAGCCACCTGCTTTCTATATTGTGTTATCGGGCTATTCCTGCAGGTCTTATATCACATGAAGAGGGTCTCTGTCTGTTTCTGACAGGATAATATTAATCTTATTCTCCAAGTGAGCACCCAGCATATCTCGAAGATCAGAAAGAAAGCCTCGTTCAGTGTTGCTGTGTTCACAGAGGATGACACTTATTCCTTGGGAAGCAGCATCCAGAACATCATGGTGGGACATCTCACCTGCCAATAAAGGAAAGAGCAAATATTTAAATATCAGACACAGTCTGTGGACTATAGTTCTGTGCTGAACCATAACAGCAGAAATACCAAGTTTTCATCCTATATGAAGCAAATGTAATACAGCAGAACTTTATACATGAATCTAGAAAGTTATATGCATGTTTCTTATATGTCCTCCAATTTACAAAGAGAGACCATCCCACTGAGAATTCCAGATTCTTTCTCCTTGGCATATGCAAGGCAAGTATCCAAATTCACACATCCTACAGTATCTGATACTGCCAGAACTGACCTATAGGAACACCCATTCAAAAGGTTTCCACAATAAAATAAAATAAATGACCACTGCTCACCTCCCAAAGACTTCTTTATACTTTGTGAAATAAAGTGTAAGTGTTAGTAGCTCAGTCATGGCTGACCCTTTGTATCCCCATGGACTCTAGCCCACCGGGCTCCTCTGTCCATGGAATTCTCCAGGCAAGAATACTGGAGTGGGTTGCCATTTCCTTCTCCACAGGGTCTTCCCGACCCAGGAATCGAACCCAGATCTCCCACATTCCAGGCAGATTGTTTACCATCTGAACCACTAGGAAAGCCACTTATACTTTGCGAATACCAAAATTCTCAGCATCAACTGTAGTCTAATTCATAAGAATGAAATGAGCTTAAGGTTATTTCTAAATTAAAAACAAGGCATTTTCCTTTGACTCAGGCAAAACTCGGAGAAGGCACTGGCAACCCACTCCAGTACTCTTGCCTGGAAAATCCCATGGACGGAGGAGCCTGGTGGGCTGCTGTCTATGGGGTCACACAGAGTCAGACACAACTGAAGCGACTTAGCAGCAGCAGGAGCAGGCAAAACGCCTAGAAATTCTGAAGTTACTGGTAGAAGAGGATCTCATCTTTTGTGGAAAGATTTTGGGAAAACTCAAATGCGTTGAATTTTTAAAAAACACTTTGTGAATGTGATGTAAGTGCAAGAATATTTGGCTTTTTCATAAAAAGCACAATTTTGAAATACACTTAAGACATAAAGGTATTAAAAAAAAGGTCTTAGGAAAAAAAACACCTCAATTTCAATTCCCCACACTCTCCCCTAGCCAAATACGTATCATTTCATTATGAAGTGTTAGTCACTCGGTCGTGTCTGACCCTTTGCGACCCCATGGATTGTAGCTTGCTAGGCTCCTCTGTCCATGGAACTGTCCAGGCAAGAACACTGAAGTGGGTAGCCATTCCCTTCTCCAGGAGATGTTCCCAACTCAGGGATCGAACCCAGGTCTCCTGCATTGCAGGCAGATACTTTATTTGTGCCACCAGGGAAGCCCTCATTGTAAGGACTAGTTTCTACTCAAGCACCTTTTAAAATATCTTAATTTAAGTAATAGTAGAGAAAAAGTGAAAGGAGAAAAAGACACTAAGTGGCCCAGTTAGAAGTCATGCTTTAGGAAAGACAATCTGGCTGTTTGGACTAGCATACAATTTATATTTCCAAGGAGCAAGCTTGCCATCTGCTGGTCTTCCTAGGATACTACCCTTTATGATCTAATATGTAAAGCTCAAAGGAAGGGTGATGAAAATGGTCTTTTTGGCTGGGGTTTCCCATCCCTAAAGTGATATTCAAAGTGACGCCTCACAGATTACAGACATCTAAAGTAAGCTAGATAAGACATTTTCTATTTCCCCAACTAACCATATAAGAAGGACATTTTAACATTTTGGAACTGTGTGAATTTATCTCACGTACACACTGCTTTCTAATATGAAAACTAATTTTAAAAAGTCATTATTTATGAGAAAACAATCAGACATTCTAAACTGAGAGATATACAAAAAGGCAAATGGCCTATGCTCTTCAAAAATGCCAGTGCTCTAAAGACAAAGTTGAGAACTAGAACAGATGCAGTGTGTGATCAAGAATTGAGCATCAATCTGAAAAAGAAATACTATAAATTTTGATCAATTAACAATATTAAATTCCTGAATTTGGTCATTATAACATGGTCATATAAGGGAATGTCCTCGCTCCTAGGAGATAAAATGCTGAGGTATTTGAGGGTAAAACGTCATCATATCTGTAATTTATTTATAAATGGTTTAGGAGAAAACATAAATACATATTAGGTTGGTGCAAAAGTAATTGTGGTTGGTACAAAAGTAATTGAGATTCAAAAGTAATTGTTGGTGCAAAAGTAATAGTAACTCAGGCTGATGAAAAAGTAATAGGTTCAAAAGTAACTGCAGTTGGTGCAAAAATAATTGAGGTTGGTGTAAAAGTCAACCACAATTCTCTTGCACCAACCTAATACTTATGCATACACAAATATACACACACATATATGATGTTATAGAAAGACAGAATGTACAAATGTGGCAAAAAATAGCCACTAGTAATCTAGGTGAAGGGTATATAAGAGTTGATTATACTATTCTCACTGCAACTTTTTTATAGGTCTAAAATTCCTTCAAAGTAAAATGTTAAATTTTAAAATAGAAACATCATGTTAAACTGTCTATACACTGAAAGTTTATTTCAATCTGGTATAAATTTGAGGGCTTATAAAAATCTTAAAATTTAGGTGACCTAGACAGGAAGGAAATCTAAAAAAGAGTGAATATATGTATACATATAACTGATTCATTTTGCTGTACATTAGAAATACAACATTATAAAGCAACTATACTCCAATAAAAATTAAATAAATAAATAACCCCCTCCCAAATAAAACCCTTGCTTCTTTAGAAGGAAAGAAAAGAAAACAGACAATGGTCACATACACTTTTAATTGGTTCAAAGCAATACATCAGGCTTGCTAAGATGCTGCACCTATTCTCAGAGACATGACATTATTTCAAGTGCAGCAGCCTTCGTAAGGGAGTATGCTGGATAATAAGACATGGGTGTATGGTGACAGGAGAGATCTAGTAATGGCAAGTCCCAGAGGTAGCCAAAGTGGGCAAAGTAATCCTAAGCCCCTGTCTCCTAACCCTCAAGTGGCCCAGAGGTAGTAACTGCAGCTGGTAGCAGCAGTGCTCAAAGTGCCTCCAGCTCCCTTGGAGGAACAATGGGCCATGTTACCAATTAGGTATTACCAACAAGGACAGAACATAGAGCTGGGAGTCAAACAATTTCTGTCCAAAAGGAATGCATATTGTAGATTAAGAACAAAGTGACAGGAATTGGGAGAGGAAGGTATGATCATCAGGGGTAGGAGCCGGACACTGTCAAGAAAATGCTTCTCAGGGGAGGGTATCTTTGAGCTTATCACTGAAAGTGTAAGAAAGGAGCAGAGAAAAGACATCCTAGCCAGGGAAAACAGCATGAGCCAAGACTGCACGAAAGAGGGAGGGACGTTCCGGCTTCAGCAGGGCACATGGAGGAAATCGCTGAAGGGTTTTCAGCCACGATAATATTATACACCATCACATCTGTACTTCTCAAAGTTAGTCCTGGGGGAGTGTGTGGAAGATTAAGCTTAGAGGCTTAATGAAGTACGTTAGGTAGGGGATGCCTGGATGGAGATAAGGGGAAAAACAGAAAGATTTTGGAGCTAGAACTGAGAGAAAGTGATCACTGCCTTCAGGGCCGAGTAAGAGGAACAAGTTTCTACCTAAGGTAACAGGTAAAAAGTGTCCCAGTAACTTATGTGAAATCTGAGAGAAATCATATTTAGGAACAAAATAGGTTAAATAAATGCTGAACATCACTTTTTAGGTAATCTATTAGGTGATTTTTTTTTTCCTTCCACAAAGTATGTGGTATGTCCCCAGTTTTGACATAGTTCTTATTTAGTTCAGGTTCAAAAACATTCATTAGATCTATCTGTATGTTAGATGCTGTCCTAAAATCTGCTAATTTTTACCTTGTAAAAAACAAACCAAGGCAGGGAATGGATACACAAGAAAAGGGAAGAAGAAAGGTCCAACGGCTGTCCTACCTGTGAGATAAAGGTCGGCGTCTGTCCCCTGCAGGACGCTGCTCCCAGAACCAGCGCACAGAGCCACGACTTTCACTGGGGACTCTTCACGATGAAGAAAGCAAGAGACCAACACTTTACAATTCCCCTTCATATTCATATTACAATCTGTACCAGGCACCCGATATGTAATATCTTATCTTACCCAGTCTCATCACCGGTATGTGAATTTTGTGAAAAAAATTTTTAAAATAATAGAACATGTCTTCATATAGGCAGACAGACTATTCCGTGGTATTACAGAGCTATCCTAAGGCAGGATTATTGCTCCTGTGGACACTCGCTGTGGCCCAAGCCCATACGAGGCGCCTCCGAACAGCATTCACCGCCATGAGCACCAGGTTTGAGGCTTTACCAGAGCGGCCCAGTTAAGCGACCTCACCTTGTCTCCAGGTGACAGTGAGAGGCAGGCACATCTGTCTCTGTTCCCAGGTAAGGAAGCTAAGGAGCTAAACAGGCTAGTGAGAGGATGCTATGTAACGGATTTGACACACATCTTTTTAACTTTTGATTTTATATTGGAGGATAGCTGATATATAGAAAACGAACTTATAGTTACCAGTGGGGAAGTACGGAGAAGGGATAGTTAGGGAATGACATGTACATACTGCTATATTTAAAATGGATAACCAACCAGGACCTACTGTTTAGCATAGGCAACTCTGCTCAATATTACGTAACAACCTAAATGGGAAAAGAATAGGTGCGTGTATAACTGAATCACTGTGCTGTAATCCTGAAACTAGCACAACATTGTTAATGGACATATTTTTTTAATAGGGTATTTTCCTAAAAAAACATCCTCTGGAGAGTGAAATACAGAAATTTTCAAGCCAAAATCCAAGAAGTGTTGAGCACTGAGGTTTCTAGAACGGACACTGCATTAGTAGTATTTCAAAAAAGGGGCAATGGGGCCGGTCAGAAGTTTTATACCACCTCTGCCACCCACCTTCTTTGGAAACGAGCACTCGTGAGTTGTTTGATCCAACTGTGGATTTTGGTTAAGTCAGTTATCTCTGCAAACCTCAATTTTTTTCACCTATACAACAGGAATAATAATACTTTCCAGACATCTAACAATAGCTAGCATTTACTGCACTTAATGTGTGCCAGCCACATGAACTGTATCACCACTTCCACGTCTGTCAGTCATGCAGCAGACACGACTGTTACATGAACCCCGGCGTCAGATCCACACTCATGACAACTGCACTCCACATGTTGCCTTCGCAGTGGAAACACACACACTTAGGACACTCTGAATAGTCCCAGGCTTACTGCAGGGGCCCAGTAAATGTTCTGCTCGTTCCTTTTGTTCCCCAAAGTACAGGAGAAAGCCAAGAGAGAAGGCAGTGGCTACAAAACTCAGCAACCGCAGTCAATTACATCACTGAGCATAGCAGTACCTCACTATAAGTTATCACTAGTATTATAAAACTTAAGATCTGCCTTGTAACTGGAGCAATCACGGCTTCTAGCTTTCTTCCTGGAATGTGGTAGGACTGCACTCCACACTCTCCCTGGGCTGACTGACTCTGAACAATGCGTTGAAGAGAATATGTATCATTTCCAGACTACAATGTTTAACTGCAGTTTAAGACCCTCCCTCTTCAAGACCTGTCTACAAGAGGGAGGTGGGAGGGGGGACCGGGATGGGGAATACATGTAAAAAAAAAAAAAAAAAGATACACTATGGTTGTGATAAAAAAATAAATAAATAAATAAATAAAAAATAAGAAAAAAAAAAAAAAAAAAGACCTGTCTACAATGAGCAGACTCCCCTGCTGATCTGAGATGGACCTGGAGTGTGAATGAGAAATACATCTTGTTTAGGCCGATGAGATGTATACCACAGCATAACCTTGTCCACTCTGACCAATAAAGTAAACCAGTCATCTTCAGTGAGCTGCTAACACATTTCTATCATATTGATAGAGCCAAAAGTTTCCATTTTTGCCCAACATTATCAGTAGGTATGCTGGACAAATATAAAAGACATACTTACCTAAGGTCTTCCCTTTTCCAAGAGAAAGGCGGACATGAGATAGTTTTAGGTGGCTTTTGATTCGCTCAATCATGGTTGCCAAGGAGACAGACTCATCCAGTGTGCATAACCGTCCCATCCCAGTATGGAGAAGTAGAGGCTATAGAGACACAGAAATTAGGAAAACTGGACATCATCAGTCCTAGAAAACAACTGCATAGAGCAAAGAGCAAACTGAGATCCATAAAACAAGGGTACCATGAGCTTGCTATAAAACTAGCTCCAGGGCTTTTCTGGTGGCTCAGTGGTAAAGAATCTGTCTGCCAATGCAGGAGATACAGGTTCAATCCCTGATCTGGAAAGATCCCACATGCTGCAGGGCAGCCAAGCCCATGTACCACAACTATTAAGCCTGTGCTCTGGAACCTGGCAGTCGAAACTACTGCAGCCCCTGGACCCTAGAGCCTGTGCTCTGCAAGAGAGAAGCCACCACAAGGAGATGCCCATGCATAGCAACTAGAGAGCAGCCCCCAATCACAGCAACTAGGAAAAAGCCCGCGCAGCAATGAAGACCCAGCACAGCCAAAAATAAATGGATAGATAAAAATTTAAAAAAGAAAAGTAGCTCCAAGCTAAAATTTAGGAATGCAAACCTGACAAAAATATTTTCTGACTTCTAGGAGCTCAGTCTCCTGAGAAGGTAGTTTTCTCTTTTCCTTTTTTTTTTTTTTTTTTGGCTGAGTGGCATGTGGGATCTTAGTTCCCTGTCCAGGGATCAAACCTCTGCCCCTTGCATTGTGAGCATGGAGTCTTAACCAGTGGACCACCAGGCAAGTCCAAGATAGGCACTATTTCTTTATGGGATCACAAAACAGTGACAAAATAGATGAGTTGAGATGGGAGGAAGGTGGGTACTTGAAGTAAGGAGAGTAAAATAAGCTTCTACAAGGACTTGGGTCTTGAAGATAAACCAGAGAGGCATTAGGAAAGGAGTGATGTCAAGCGCAGGATGGTGGGTTAGAGATAGGGTGAGATGTGGTGAGGCATTCTACTTTTCTTTTTTCCTTTTTATTTACTTATTTATTGAGGCATTCTAAACAGAGAGAACATGTACAAAGGTGCCAAGGTGTGAGGGAGCACACGAGCAGATCTAAAAGCAGACAGTACAGCTGGTGTGCAGAGCGAGGGACGGGGAGGGAGGAGCTGGAGACAGCGGTCCTTGCTGGTCATGAAAGGCTACACACTCTAAGCTGAAAAGCCTGGACTATCTCCTGGAGGTGCCTGCTCAGGAGTTCACTGTGTCTTATATCCCAAGGGAGGGAACATGAGAGTTTCCGACTACTGTGGCGGCAAAGCAGAGAGGAGAAACATCTTGGAGATTTAGGGACAGAATCAGCAGGGCTCAGATGTATGGGAGCAAGGGAGAGCTGTGCAACCTGCAAATAAAACAGCTCTTAGGGTCACCGGTAAAACAGAAAAAAAAACTTGTATTTAAAAGCATGGTATGTGGATAAGGTCAGTATGTGTAATATTGGATTTTAAATACTTGTGAGATCTGAAAGTGGAAAATGTTCAGAAAGTGGCTGGAAATACAGATTTTTAAAAAATTTTTATCTTTTACCTTAAGAAAGCATCCTGAGACAGGAAGTAAAGACATAGGGATCATTACAAGTCAAGTTAAAGGAATGAATAAAATGGTCCAGGCAGAGGGTACAAAATAAGAGACTGAATCTGTAACTGAGTCTCTAATCGTGAACAAGTACCATCATGGTCTGGATGTTTCTGTCCCCCTCAAATTCATAGGATGAAATCCTAACCTATAGATTAGGAGGTGCAGCCTTTGGGAGGTACTTTTGGGTCATGAGGTTGGAACCCTCACAAATGGCATTAGTGCTTTAGAAAAGAGGCTCCAGAGAGATCCCAGGTTCCCTTCACTGTGTGAAGACACAGACAGAAGCATCACCTTTGAACCATGTAGTGAGCTCCCATCAGGCAACACTCAGAATCTGCCAGTGCCATGATTTTGGACTTCGCTTCCTCCATAACTGTGAGAAATAAATGTCTGTTGTTTATAAGCCACCCAGTCTACAGTATTCTGTTACAGAAGTCCAAACATGTTATGGCAGCCTGAATGGACTAAGATATCTACATTTTTGTATTCCTGAAACGTCTCCCTTTTTCCATAAACTTTCCAGGGCATAACACGCTTTCCTCACCACTTTGGGCTTCTACTCTAGGCAATAGTTAATAACCTGTTGAACTAACACTTTACATATGAATCTGTCAAACAAAACTGCACTGTAATGTAAAATATCTTTTAGTACCTTCTCTAGTGACAGAATTTCAGTCTTCTGATAAAACTGCCTATTCTGGGAAAGAAAAGCCACCACCTGCATCAAAGCTTGCTGAGTACAGTTCAAACTGAGCCGTGTTTGTTCTTCACCATCAGTCCTGGAAAAAAAAGTCACTTGGTCTGGGATAAATATAAACAAAATAAATATAAATATATAAGTATATACATATATATATATAAATTTATGTATTTAAAATAATCCATAGTTTACAACCTCCTGTAATAGGAGATTCGATTTATATGGAATTTAGGATTTAATTCCAAACCGTTTTCTAGAACAGTGTTTCTCAAACTTCAGCATGCATCAAAATCATCTCATGGCCTTATTAAAGCAGATTTCTGGGCCATACCCTCAGAGTTTCTGGTTTAGTGGATCTGAGCGGGGGCTGAGGATTTGTCTAACAGGTTCCAGGTGACACTGCTGTGCTGGTCCAGGGACCTCGCTTTGAAACCCCTGTTCCAGAACCGTTCTTGGTCCTGGTCGCGCACCAGAAATCTCCTGCTGGCTTCCTAAAGTGACAGCTGCTGGACGCCTATAGACTCAGCGAAACAGGACATCTATGAATGGAGCTGGGGCAAACAACTGTTTAAAGTCCTAGAAAAGTATAATTTTCAAACATCACTGAGAACAAGAATCTCCCAGACAGATTCTCAGGCAAATCCCATTCTAATTACACAGATTTAGGAGAAAGCAAAAAATCTGCACTTTTCTTTATTTATTTTTAATTGAAGGATAATTCTGCTATAATATCGCGTTGGTTTCTGCCACACAACAACATGATGCATTTTTCAAAAGCACCCATTATGCTTATGATTCAGAGGGTCCCTGAATCACCCTTTAAAAAGCAACACACTTGGGAATTCCCTGCTGATCCAGTGGTTAGGAGTAGGTGCTTTTATTGCCAGGGCCTGGGTTCACTCCTTGGTCAGCGAACTAAGATCCCAAAAGTCACGGGGCATGGCCAAAAAAAATTTTAAAAAGGAATATCCGAGAGCCTCTCCAAAAAAACTAGCATCAAGAAAGTTTTGTATTTAACCATAAACTCTAAATATAATCACAGAATTTGAGAACTAAAAGATACCTTACAAGATAATGTGGAAGCGTAGTTTCAACACTGGAACCATCTGCAGAGATTTGAAAAGAAAAAGCAAAAACAATGCCTGGTCCCAGTCTAATTGTTAAGTCTCAGATACTACCTGTAATATGGAGAAACTGGAACCAAACTAAATGTGTATCAGTTCTTTAAAAGGTCCACTAGTTAGGAAGTGAAATGCTTCAAGAAATTACAGTACATTCATAATAAGAAATCTACATGGAAAGATTACTATGACAAGTTGAAAAGGCAAATACAGCATACCATTTAATTAAAAAAAAAGACTAAAATAAAACTATACATTCCTTCATGTCCCTCTACATGTTTGGAAAGATACCCACTTCTCTGAAAACAAAAGACAAGACAACGTGAGTTGAAGATCTTGGGACTGAGTGGAAGGGATAAGGAGGACTTTGGTATTGTTTGAAGTTTTCATGCTCTATTTGTATAATTTTAATTTCAGTATTCACACAGTATTTCTGTGTGAATGGTAAAAGATATCTATGACTGGAATTTATGCAAAATCTTATAAATAATTTTCCTTAAGGTTCTTGAAATCCCCCAATACTACTATAGGACATTTACTATGGCTTTAGTATAATGTATCTGCACATAAAAACCACTCATCAAAGAGTCATTTTTGGTGGAGCCGATATGGATTTCCATTTTAGCTTTGCACAGTGGCAGTATCACAGCCAGTGAGATTTACCCAAGGCATGATTACTGCTAACAGATTTCCATTTTATTAAAAGGTCACTATATTTATCTTGGTTTTTTCTTTATAATTAAGTCCTAGCTCTGTCTAATGTGTCTTTTACAATGCTTTAGTGGCTTCCCTGGTGGCCCAGATGGTAAAGTATCTACCCGCAGTGCAGGAGACCGGGTTTGATTCCTGGGTAGGGAAGATCCCCTGGAGAAGGAAATGGCCATTAGTAGGCATTAAGGTAAATTAGTCCCCCAAAAATCTCCAACGAGGCAACATTTTTTGGTATCTCAGACCTAATTAAATAAATGACTGGCCTATCTGAGAGGCATTTTAATGTATTTTTTCCTTTCAAGTGTTTGGGAATCATCATGTGCTGGGAACTGATAAAAGTAAACCTATACTATCAGTATATCGCTAGGGTTTATCTACATACCCTAAAGTAAAAATAGCTTTCAACACTGTCAGGAGGATTAGAAATACTGTAAGATGTGTGGTATAGTCCTTCCGGAATAGAAAACAGTCAGTAAGTGTTATCATTTTTATTGTATTGGAAAGATCCCATAGTTTTCCTTCTCAAGGACCCATATGCAAATGAGAAGAACACTCTTTTGTAAAGCTACAGGAGGAAAATGATTTCACCCAAAGAAAATAATTTGTTGTAAACTTAAGTAGCAGGGTTATAGAATTTGTAAGAAAAATTCCTAACATATACACAAGAAGAGGAAAATATATTGTACCTAGCAGAAAAAGAAGTGACAGATACACCTGTAATTTCTTTCAGTGCAGAAATGACTTTGTCCAGGTCTTGGGTGTGGGTAACACTGAATTCTACTCTGTGAGTTCCCTCCGTGGGGTAGTCAGGAGCTTTGGAAGGATGGATGGGCCTGGATGTGCAAACACCTAGAAAAAAAATTGTCAGGAGTTAAAAGAGATTTTGTGGGTTTTTTAAAAAATTAAAAACTACTACTGTAAGAAATGAGTATTCTTTAAAAGATTCATTCTTAGCTGCTTCTATAGTAAACACACACAACATGGTCCTTACATATACACCCAATAGTCCCCATAACCTAAGGATTTCGTATTATCATACAGAATCATATTTCTTTTCAGAACTATTTTCCAGAAGACTTAAATATCACAGAAAGTTGGACAAGACTGACTCATGAATTTCTGATGACATAGAATTGTGACTGCTTACTAAATTTACTTGTGTAAACTATGATTCAAGTCACAAAGCTCATAATCCACTTGACCACACTAATCCAGGGTGTATCATCACAGAAGCTTCAGCCCAGCACAAGGAAACTAAAAAGGCTTACCAAAAATGAAGCTAAAAAGACGTACACTGAATTCCCTCATTGTGCTGGGCATAAGTACCAACCCATTGAAACTATCTGACTGATATACGAAGTATACCCTGGAGAGACCTGAGCTTTCAATTCAATTCAACAGGCATTTCTGGAGCGCCTGAGTGCTAGGCACTGTGCCACTTGAGTAAGGAATCACAAAGCGCAGCCAAAAATGAAGATTTCCAATGTGGTCTTTATTCACTAAGAATAAAATTTCATTTTCAAATATAATTTAATTGCCAGGTTTCAGCAAGATTATTTTAAAATATAAAAGAACAGAATAATGGTCCCCATCCCTAAAGAGGTTAAAACATGATTGAAAAGACACTTTATAAAATTTCAAAGCACTGACAGGGAAAAAGCTAGATATGAAGGAACAAGACGCTTCTCACCAAGCCCTTTAGCCAGCCAGCTGTTGACCCCCTGAGGAGCAGCGTCATAGGCGGTGTGAGGAGAGTAGATCCCAACTCTGTTCTCCAGTGCCCGGATTACCAGGCGCTCCTTCCACGTTTTCCAGGTGATGCGCTTCATGGGTCGGAAAACAGGCGGATGGTAGGAGAGGATGAGATCCGCCTTCTTCTGCAGCGCCTCCTCCATCACTTCCTCCGTCAAGTCATTGGTCAGGAAGAGCGTGTTTACAGTGTGCGGTGGGCTTGGTTCCACCAGCAAGCCAACGTTGTCCCAACTCTCAGCAAATGAGAGGGATGCAAAGTCATTCAAGGAGGAAAGGAGAGCCTTCAGATCCATGAAGGAGCGGGAAGAACTGTAGATCAGGGAACGGACCAGGCGGGCTGTCGTGGCGACCAGGCGTACACGAGATGACAACATGCAGAAGTCAGGTAAAACTGAGGATCTGAAGTCAAACACAGACTATGGAGCACATGTACACTTTACAGACTCTCACCTTTTTAGACAGCAAAGTATATGAGCAAAAGAGCTGTAGTCTCACACTGAAAAAGACAGACAGACATGATGGCATGCATACTCAGTTGCTTCAAACCCAGGCCTCCCGCATTGCAGGCAGATTCTTTACCAGCTGAGCCACAAGGGAAGCCCAAGAATACTGCAGTGGGTAGCCTATCCATTCTCCAGCAGATCTTCCCAACCTAGGAATCGAACCAGGGTCTCCTGCATTGCAGGCAGATTCTTTACCAACTGAGCTATCACGGAAGCCCACTCAGTTGCTTCAGTCGTGTCCAACTCTTTGCAACCCACTGGACTGTAGCCAGCTAGGCTCCTCTGTCCATGGGATTCTCCAGACCAGAATACTGGAGTGGGTTACCATGCCCTCCTCCAGGGCTTCTTCCTGACCCAGGGATCAAACCCACGTCTCCTGCATCTCCTGTGATGCAGGCAAATTCTTTACTGCTGAGCCACCAGGGAAGCCATACCTAAGTTCAAATATTGGCTCTATCATTTACCAGCACATGGTATCACAAGTGAGTCACTTAAGCGCTCTGAGCTTGTTTTCTCATCTACAAAACAGAGATACTATAACTTACTTCATAGGTCATCTGGAGGAGTAAATGAATTAATATGTTTAAGTCACCTTGCACAAGCCTGGAGTGTGTGTGTGTATGTGTGTGCACATGCATGTGTGTATGTGTTGCTCAGTGGTGTCTGACTCTTTGCAACCCTTTGGACTGTAGCCCACCACACTCTTCTTCCCGTGGAATTCTCCAGGCAAGAATACTGGAGTGGGAACCATTCCCTTCTCCAGAGCACAAGCCCTGTACATAACACACAATTACATTCACCCCCTCCTCCCTGTCCCCCCCACACCCTCTGTTCTTATTCTCCTCACCCTTACTTCAACCCTCCTTCTCCACTTCTCTAGGTATTACACTTCCTCCCAATACCACTTTGACTTCCTAAATAAAGCTTTTCTGGACAAACTTTCTCTTTCAGTGTCTCCCCTGTTACTCCAGACATTCTCTTAATTGATGTTATATTCCTGTTTGTCTCCCCTAAAGCTACCAGAGAACAGGAACTATCTTTTCTGCATCTCAGTATCTCCAATATGGGCCAGCACTAAATGCTTACTATACACAGACACAGTTTCCCTTCCCCTATCATAGCAGAATTTGGAGCTAGGGTGGTATATACTGACATTAAAAAGTGCTTTATCAGAGTGTTCCCTGGTGACCTGGTGGTTAGGATTCCGGCTTTTGCTATTGCTATGGCTTGGGTTCGATCTCTGGTTGGAGAACTGAAATCTCTCAAGCTGTGGGGCATGGCCCAAAAAAAAAAGGTGCTTTATCAAGAAAAAATAATGATACCATATATAAAAAATTAAGTGGTTTATCAGTAGCCAGAACCACGGGATGCAGAGGCGGGTCACTGTGAATCGGCAAGGTCAAGGCAGCAAAGCGGCAGGAGATGCTGCCCCCGAACAAACACCTCGGTGCCAGAGGCCAGAACCAAGAGGTGGGAGGGGTGGAGGGCAGGGTACTCTGTCCAGAGAGTCTGTCAAAGCCTTCTAGACGTCTGTATCCTACACAAGAAACAACACTGTCAGCTCAATTCTTAAACCAAGTATCTTTGAAGAAAAGCATTTCATGGTATGCAAATTAGAAAGAAAGCAGTCAACTGTAGTAAATTTTAATTTAAATACTTGTAACTCGTTAACTTCGGAAACAATTTTTTAAACTTTTATTTGTACACAAAAAATATTTAATATTTAATGCACTTATACAAAATATGGTTTGGAGTGATGTGGAACCTCCACAAACCCCTGAAATGGGGTCTTAGAAGATCTTCTACGTGTCCTTATACCACTTGCGGGCTTCCCTGGTAGCTCAGCTGGTAAAGAATCCGCCAGCAATGCCGGAGAATGCAGGAGACCTGGGTTCGACCCCTGGTTGCGTACATGCCCTGGAGGAAGGCATGGCAACCCACTTTAGTATTCTTGCCTGGAGAATCCCCATGGACAGAGGAGACGGGTGGGCTACAGGCCACGGGGTCACAAAGAGTCGGACACGACTGAAGCACTAGGTACCACAGCACACACCCCTTCCAATTTCCAAATTCCAGGTCCTGATACTAATCACTCCGCTCTACAGACTCTTCTAAATCTGCAAGGGCTAAAGTGAAGCTCTAGTGGTCTATCACGCCGGTGTTGATTTATTTACTGTTAAATTTTTTAGGACTTAAAGGTAACAAAATACTCCCCATCCACAACGAAGCTGGGTAGCTTGAAGCCACAATTAACAAGAATGCGAGGCGGCCCAGCATGGTAGAAGACCACAGACTCTAAAACCAGACTGACTCCCAGAGCCACAGCTGTCTGCGGTTTCCACCTCTGAAGGACGGAAATAATAGTCTCCAGCTCACAGGGTTGCTGCAAGATTTAATCGTAAAGCTGGGGGAAAGTACCTGGCCCAGAATCAGCGCTGTTTAAGTATCACTAGAAGGGCCATTTCACAGCCTCCAAACTGCCCCCCGCCCCCCACCTTTTTCCGTCCCACTTCAGACGTTTTCCAGGACAATGAAGAGAGCAGGTGGCAAGGCCGTAAACCTGAGAATCAGGGCCCCGGCCCCTCTAGAGCCCTATCCTATCTCGACGCAACCCGGTTTTCTGCGCCTATCTCTGCCCTGTGGCTATCAGGTGCTGCCACAGCCCTCCACCGAAGGCTCAGCTGCCCATGCCGAAATTCGATTCTCCCAAGACTCACCAGTCCCGGGACTCCGCGAGCGCTACTTCCGGTCCTGCGCGGAACTTCCTGGTGTTGTGAAAGTGGGCGGGACACCGGAGCCGGGCGGAAGAGGTCCTTTCCATTTTACATCTGAGCCCAAGGCAATTATAGAGGTTGTCCGGAATTAACGCTTCTTGTCCTAGTGTAATTATTGAAAGAGCCCCCATTCAAGGTCAGAAGTGTTCCTGGTGGGGAACAAATCATACATTCTCTCCCTAGTTCTCGTTTGGGTTACAGATAGGGATGGGGGAAGGGAGGACGCGAATAGGCAAGGGGCGTTCTCTCTAATGGGTCTCTTGCTCGACTTCCGGTGGCATTTCGAATCTACAGACCCGTGGGGGCACCTACGATTGCATCTTTGCTGTTTTAGCAACAACTGTGCTAATCGAAGTGGTTAAGTAAGTATGAGGTAACGTCAGTTATTGTTTCATTAACTTAACTCAAGTGCTTGCAGAGCGCTGTGTGTTTCAGTTCTTGTACTGCTTACAGTGAGTATTTGTTCTGTGAGGGGAGGGTGACGACTAGTAAAGAAAAGAAGGAAAGTGAAGTCGCTTAGTCGTGTCCAACACTTTGCGACCCCATGGATTATAACCTATCAGGGTCCTCTGGCCATGGGATATTTCCAGGCAAGAATACTGGAGTGGGTTGCCATTTCCTTCTCCAGGGGATCTTCCCAACCTAGGGATCGAACTCAGGTCTCCTGCGTTGCAGGCAGATGCTTTACCATCTGAACCACCAAGGAAACCCATGTAGTGTACTAGTGGTAAGTGCTGTGAGAAAAAGAAATCGTTAGCAGGTTTACCCAGACATTTGAGCAGAGATTTGGAGGTGAGGAGACTAGCCATACAGATATCTGTGTGTTCATGTTCCAGGCGAGGGGAGCACCCAGTGCCTGGACCCCAAGGCGGGAATGTATTCGGCCCTTGAGAAGTAAGCAGGAAAACAGGAGTTTGAGGGTCTGGAGTCGATTAGTTTCACCTGATCGCTTCCATAACCGAATTTTTATTACTTGGGTAGAATGGGTACTCGTTGACACTTTTTCTTTTAAATATGCCATAAAGCTTAGCTTGTGTGAGTTAAGAGAGGGAAATGAACTTAATTCTCTTTTCTTTTGTAAATAGAGGCTCGTTTTTGAACTTCTCTCAATAAACTCTGAGAAAGTAACAGTGTTTCCTGAAACCATCAAGAAAGAAAATGGTAAATTTTATGGAATTCTTATGAATGTCTTTCATAATAAGTAATTTTTTTTAGAAACTCAATCAAGGGAATTAAAACTGCATGGAAATTTCAGTGACAAAACAGAAATAATAAGCTGAAGAACTATACAGTGTAAAATGATTCTAAACAAAACCAGCAAAGGCAAAATTGAATTATGTTTTTCACTTAACACAGAATTTACCTTTGTATGGAAAAAGATTGATGAGAGAGAGAGAGATGGAAAGGGGTTGTTGCAGAAGAGCATAGTTAGATGTGGTCATTTTCATTGGATCCTTTTGCTCTTGATCTAAGATGGACAACTGGAGCCGGAGATAGAAAGCAGTGTGCCCCACCAACACACACACATTCCTGCCCTCTTTCTTCAACTTAGTCATACTCTGACTGCTACATACTGTAAGGTACAGTTCCGGCGAGGCAGAAAAGGAAAGACGACCTCAACAGAAGTAGGTTACCTTTATTCAGGCAAGGAGGGGCGACAGTCGGCCTAATGACCAGGCTGAGCGCCGAAAGGGATCAGGGAGACTTCATTCTTATAGGGGGGTTTGTGGAAGCGATAAGGGAAACGTCAATGAGGAGGGATTTGAGTATTCCTCTGTTGAGATAACACTTGCAGCTGGGCAGGGGGGCGATAAGTCTTCTGGGCGGGTGGAGGGGGTGGTAGGTTTCCAGACAGGGGGAGTTAAGTCCCAAATAGATACAGCTGGCCTGGAGCATCAGGATGTAACTAAAGTTATGCTTTGTTCTCTCCGAAGTTAGATGATTCAGCAAGGGGCCTTTGAGACTGCTGTTCTCTTCTCTAGGCCCAAAAGACTCCTTCACATACTATTGTAAAAAGAAGAGAAATTTAAAAAGAAGTCTCAGAAGCTTTCTAGCCTGTCTGGAATGGGGTAACAAAAGGAGTATTTTGACTACCAATGAATAGATTAAGCAAAAAGGCAAGAAAGAAAGAGTACTCTGGTTACCTCTGCACATTTAGGATCTGAAAACACAGGTGCTTTTTATGTCTGTTGTCTTCAGTGGAGAAAGAAATTGTTTCAATTCTCACAATTAAACTACATAAGGGAAATGGTAAAAAAAAAAAACAACAACAACTATGTTTGTAAAAGTCTTTTTCATACTATTTTTCAGTAAATATTAATGACTTAGTGAATTGCTTATTTAAGTCAGTCACACTAACATAAAAATCGTTTTTATTGATGAAAAGTTCAAATAAGATAATTATTTCCATCATAGTATTTGCTCCCAAATTTTTTAGCATAGATACCATTTTACCTAAACATTTACATTTCTCCTCTGGAATTTTTTTTTTATCCTACTGCTGAAATAATTTTGAAGAAATGCAACTTATCTCTGAAGAGCTACTGTGTGGATAGATCATCTCTGAAATGGTGTTTTTTTCTGTCTTTATTCAGATAGTCATCTTTAATACCTAGTTATGGAAATGATACAGTGCACAAAATCACCTGAAGAAATCTCATTTTTCTCACAAATTTCTCTCCTTTTTAGTCGGTGACATTGCATACAGATGTAGGTGATATTAAAATAGAAGTCTTCTGTGAAAGGACACCCAAAACATGTGAAGTGAGTACCATAATGTATGCATAAAAGATGAGTTAACTCAATAGGGTAATCATTTTGAAATTGAGTCACCTAACTTAAATGGCATCCCCCCCCCAAAAAAAACCAGAAAACTTTTCTATAAAGCCATCGTCAAGAAAAACCATCAATCATAATTTCTGATCTAATTTATACTTCGTTCTCTTTTTTTTTTTTTTGGTGTCAGGAGTGGGATACGAAACTTCATTCTCTTTTAAATAAGTTATTTAGTTTTTAGCTATGCTGGGCCTTCGAGGCTGCATGCAGGGCTTCTCTAGTTGCAGGGAGCAGGGCTGCTCTCTGGCTGCAGTGCATCAGCTTCGCTTTGTGGTGGTTTCTCTTGTGGAGCATGGGCCCTTGGCAGACAGGCTCAGTGGTTGTGGCACACAGGCTTAGTTGCCCCTTGGCATGTAGAATCTTCCCAGACCAAGGATTGAACCTGTGTCCCCAGCATTGACAGGCAGATTCTTAACCACTGGCCCACCAGGGAAGTCCTACACTTCTTTTTCTGGTGTTAAAAGTGAATTAAAGACAGGGTAGACAGTTTTTCTCTTACCGGAGTGTGGCTGGTATCTTTTTCTCTTGGCTCATTTTTCTCAAGAAATATAGGGGAACTGTTCCGTTCATTATTTCACTTGTTTAAATAACAAGGATAGAAGGAAACAGGGAGTGCCTTGGCGGTCCAGTGGTTAGGACTTGGTGCTTTCACTCCTGTGGCCTAGGTTCAGTCTCTGGTTGGGGAACTAATATCCCATAAGCAGCGTGGCATCGCCAAAAAGAAATACAAGAAGGGGAAAAAAAGGGTCAGCTATATATATTCATTCATTCAGCAATTTTGCTTATGAGAAGCTATCTTGCCAGCATCTGGAACTTCAGTGATGAACAAGAGACATTCCTTGCTCATGTGGAGCTAATATTTATCTGATGGGCAGGGGGGGATTCATTCTAGAAAAAAATGTAATTCTAGAGGGAAATAATGCCTTGATGGAAATAAAGTGTTGGGATGGAGAATAGTGGAAAAGGGTTTATTTAAAAGAAGGTGAGGGCAAGGCTAGCCAAGAAGGTTGGTACCACACTTTAAGAACTGAGTGTGAAAGGTAATCAAGGCATCTCCGTGGAAGGACTTATAAAAAAGGACGTTCCAGGTATAGAAATAGGTACAGGGCCTCAAGGTGTGACAACCTGAGTTTTTTTTAACAAACTTTCAGAAGGCTGATGGGGTTAACAAAGTAAGTAGCAGGGAAGGAGTGATTATCATTATGAGACGCAGAAGCAAGCTAGATCATGCAGGGCTTGCTAGGCTCTACTGAGGATTTTGTATTTTCTTTCAGAAACAGAAGGAAGCTATTGGAGAGTTTTAGTCAGTGACTTTATCCAAAGTAATGCCTAAAAGACATTGTTTAAATAGGTTGTTGCAGTATTTCCAGTAAATACAATTCATTTGTTATCTAAAATATGTCTCTGCTACATTTCTCAATCATTATTTTTACTCTCCAGAATTTCTTGGCTCTTTGTGCTAGTAATTACTACAATGGCTGTATATTTCATAGAAATATCAAGGGTTTCATGGTTCAAACAGGAGATCCAACAGGTAAGTGATTCCAGTTAATACGTAGGGAATTGAATATATAGTGTAAAGAAGAGACTAGCTAAAGAATAGAAAAATAAAAGCATGTGGGGTTTTTTATAACTTACCTTAGCAAGAAATTTTAAAGCAGTAGCTACTAGCACCAAAGCCCTAAAATAGGAACAATATTGATAAGGAGGGTTTGGAGGTTTTGTAGAGAAACTTTATTTTTATGTTCTTTAAAGTTCATTTTGGGGAAGAAAGAAAGGACATATCAGATTTTATTTGTATTTAAAGGGTTACACTATATAAACTAGCCCTTACATTTAGAAAATGAACCCTTTCACCTTTAATTAGATACTTCATTTGTTTCTCTTGTAATATAGGTACTGGAAGGGGAGGTAACAGTATCTGGGGCAAGAAGTTTGAAGACGAATATAGTGAATATCTTAAGGTATATCCAAAATACTTCAGAATCTATTTTTTCATGCTGTGTTTACACTTGGAAACCCATACATATGTTGTAATAATACAGGTTAAAATAATTAGTAAATATACATTTTTTTGTAATTTTTCACGTTTGATAAGTGATGTCAGAGAAGAAATATAAATGTCAGTTTTAGCCTAATATATAATGGAATCTCACCATCACATGAATCTTGACATTAAGTGAGCTCATCTTTGGGTCCAATCTGAAATGTTTAATCAGTAATATACCTGTGGGGCTTCATGTCTCACTATAAAATTCATGTTGAATGACATGAATCATTGGTCTTCTTTGAGAGTGGGGAGGAGAGACTGTCAGACCTCCTGGTTTCAATATTGCCTATTATCAATTGCCAGCTTTTTATCATCTTCTCCTAGATATTTGAATATTTCTGTATTAACTTCACTTAATGTCTATGGTAGATCTCAGCTAGGTCTCAGAGAAGTGCATATAAATAAATCTTTAGCATAGAAGAATTAGATACTTATATTTCCTTTGTATTTTTTCAAACTTTCTAAAGAATTTTTTTTCTAAAAGTTAAAAAACTAGTACATATTAATCAAAAAAAAAATTTCCATTCTCCAGAGATGACATCAGTTAACAATTTATTGTGTGGTTTTTCAATCTGAATATGTAATTTAGTATATTGTTTTGCGGTTACAGTAAAATGTACTAAGCAAAGCTTCTAAAAATACTTCACTGTTTAACCTCTGGATGGTGACTGGGAATAATTTATCTTTTTGCTTTTCTATAATAAATAAATATTGTTACAAAGTTGGGGTTAGGAGGTGATAAATTATTTAAAAAGTCGTCTTTTTCCTGAATTGGAAATGAAACAGTTTTTTAGGCATTGATTAATGATGGTACTGATCTGTCATCCTATACCAGTGATTTTCAAACTTTGCTGGTGACAGATTGACCTGTAGAAGTTTTAAATTAAAAAAAAAGTTGGGCCTTATCTCCCTAAATCTAGAGAAAAACAGTAGAACTGATTAGGACTGTGAATACATTTTCAGGTTCCCTGGTGATTCCTATACAAACAAGGTTAAGAACTATTTTCTAACATGCCAGAAATGCGGATGCATGAATAGTCACATACTCTAACCCAGAAATTCCATCCCCACACGTTTACCCTAGAGAAATTCATGGACATGTGCACTAGGCAACATGTATAAGTGTGTTCCTAGAGTACTACTTGTAATAACAAAAATCGAAAAACAATGTCCATCAATCTTTGAGTGGACAAACTGTAGTATATTCAGTAGTAAAATATTACACAGTGGAAGAAATATGTATAATACATGTATGAATCTTAGAAACATTATGTTAAGTGCAGAAATCATTTTCTAGAAGACTAAAAATGGTATGAACTATTTTATAAAACTCAGAAACCAGCAAAAGGAAACAATATATTGTTCAGGCGTTTATAAAGATATTAGAATACTAGTTACCACTTCAAGAGGCTGAAGTAATAGCTGAGAGGAGCACATAGGCATATGCAACAATTTGGTAAATTTTAATTCTTAAAGCTTGGAAACAGGTTCATGGTTGCTTATTTTATTATACTGTAAGTGGTACGTATATTCTCATGATTCATCAAATACATTTCGTTGGTAGTCACCTTTTAGGGAGACAGTAAAGCTTTAATATCCATGTCGTTGCATCTCTGTGGTTTGTCTCACTACTGTCTGCTGATGGATAGCATCAGACAGAGTCATCATTGGAGTTACTTTTAGTGTATTTTATATTTGGGCATCTCCCTGTAAGATAGTTCTGTCTTCAATCTTGTTGATGAAGTTCTTTTAACTCCGGTACACATCCCCTGTTATAACAGGGTAATGAATAATAGGCCTTCCTTAGATCATCCAGTCCTGGGTTTATGAACTGACTGCCCATAGGTGGAAGACCCACAGATTCATTCTCTATGACCTTTGGTTTAAAAAAATTGTAAATGTCATGAGGCAAGAGATACACTATTCCTTTTGCCAGATGCCACCATTCCCTAATGTTTACATTCTGCCCAATTATCAATTTATTATCTGCTAACCCTTGTGAGAATTTGAATTATGAAAAAAACCCTGAACTAGTCCAACCTCCCGTGTTTTACAGATAAAGAAACTAGCCAGAGTCCAGTGTATATGTGAAGAGATTATGGGGATTTTGGTTTTGTTGTCTGCCTGATGGTTTCATGCCAGCACACTGTTCCTTAATATAGATGTAAGGATTATTTCTATTATACATTGGTGTTGCTGAAAGTGTTTGTGGCTCTACTTCTCCAAAGAGGAAATTGAGGAATATGATTTGGTATATAAACAATTTACATACAAGTTTTGAGAGATACAGATAATACAGAAACTGAACATTTGGACTAGCCCTGATGGAACTGATTACATGTTTTCTTGATCTTTTAAATATTGGGAAGGTGAAGAGTGCATGTCTTGTTTCAGTCCTATATTTGGAATTCTTATGTAAAAACAATTCTTTGGTCTGTCCTTTTCAGCACAATGTTAGAGGTGTTGTATCTATGGCTAATAATGGCCCAAATACTAATGGATCTCAGTTTTTCATCACCTATGGGAAGCAGCCACATCTGGACATGAAATACACAGTATTTGGCAAGTGAGTATTCTGGTTTGGATTTTCACTGCAAGGGATGCATGAGTGGCTGTGATCATGGCCTAACTAGTATTCAAAGAGCAGTATGAGAGCTAAATGTACCTGAAATTTACACCCACCACTTAATAGCCATGTGACCTTGGGTAATTTACAACCTCATCCTCAGTTATTTTGTAAAGAAACACCACCACTTTTTTCAGGATCTTATGCAAGTTAACAGTATGTATTATTTTCATTCAGAATAGCATTTTGTATCAACACATCTGAAAAACAGTTGCTTAAACAAGATGAACTGGGATGGTGGTTCTAGTATGTCACTGATGTCCCAGGTGCCTTTCTTTTTTCTCAGCCATCATTAGCTTTCATTCTGAAATTCACCTCATGGTTATAATTTAGGCAACAAAGCTCCAGTCAGAACATTTGTGTTCCAAGCAGAAAGCAGGAGGAAAGGCAAAAGGTGCTTGCCAGCTGAATCAGTCCCTTTATAAAGAACTTTCCTGAAGACCCAGGCCTTACTTACAAGTTCAGTTCAGTTCAGTTGCTCAGTTGTGTCCGACTCTTTGCGACCCCATGAACCACAGCACACCAGGCCTCCCTGTCCATCACCAACTCCCGGAGTCCACCCAAACCCATGTGCATCGAGTTGGTGATGCCATCCAACCATCTCATCCTCTGTTGTCCCCTTCTCCTCCTGCCCTCAATCTTTCCCAGCATCAGGGTCTTTTCAAATGAGTCAGTTCTTCGCATGAGGTGGCCAAAGTATTGGAGTTTCAGCTTCAACATCAGTCCTTCCAATGAACACCCAGGACTGATTTCCTTTAGGATGGACTGGTTGAAGCTCCTTGCAGTCCAAGGGACTCTTAAGAATCTTCTCCAACACCACAGTTCAAAAGCATCAATTCTTCTGTGCTCAGCTTTCTTTATAGTCAAACTCTCACATCCATACAGAACTACTGGAAAAACCATAGCCTTGACTAGACAGACCTTTGTTAGCAAAGTAATGTCTCTGCTTTTTAATATTCTGTCTAGGTTGGTCATAACTTTCCTTCCAAGGAGCAAGTGTCTTTGAATTTCATGGCTGCAGTCACCATCTGCAGTGATTTTGAAGCCCAGAAAAATAAAGTCTGACACTGTTTCCACTGCTTCCCCATCTATTTCCCATGAAGTGATGGGACCAGATGACATGATCTTAGTTTTCTGAATGTTGAGCTTTAAGCCAACTTTTTCACTCTCCTCTTTCACTTTCATCAAGAGGCTCTTTAGTTCTTCCTCACTTTCTGCCATAAGGGTGGTGTCATCTGCATATCTGAGGTTATTGATATTTCTCCTGGCAGTCTTGATTCCAGCTTATGCTTCCTCCAGCACAAGAGAGGGTAGGAAATATTTTTCAGCTAGATATATTGCCATCTCAATAAAATCAGGCCTCTATAAATAAGAAGAAAGGGGAATAGAATCCTGAGGAGACTTTTAGCAGCCTCTGCAAGAAAATCCATTAGATGCACTATCCCTGGGAATTGCTTTTATAAATCAACATGAAATCAGTTTGTCAACAAATTATTTACTGTGTCCAATAAACTAAGGCACAGTTCTAGAGTTTGTTTTATTTAACAGTTTGGATGCAAAGCTAGTTTAATTAAAAATACAAGAGTCTACAACTTTTCATTTTCATTCCATATGCATTTCTAATTTATAGATTAATACTTGATGAAAAGGAATATTATAGCCTTTAAGTAGTTTTTGTATGTATATGGATACACTCCCTTTCTTTTATTTTGTCCCTAACCCACCATTCAGAATTATTGCTTAGTAATTAGTAGGAGTTATCTTACTGAATTGGTTAAAAAACACTGTAGCATTAGCCTTCTTAATAGCATTCTTCTTGTAGCATTCTTAACCTTCAGTCTAGTAACTCCTTGAAACTCTTTTCTGTATATGCACACACATTTTTCTGAGAAAATGGTTCATAGCTTTTGTTGGTTCTCTGAGGTACCCATTCCCAAATACTTACCTTACCTCAACTCTACATGCCCTTTTTTGCCTGGGGTATTTTTCCTGCACCCTCTTTTTTCTCTTACTGACCCAGAAGGTGGGAAACCCTTTAAAATTTACAATTTAAAGACCTTAACTGCCTACCTTTGGGCGTAAAATCAAAAGGCTTTGGCTATAATAACATTTTAATGGAAATGTAAAATAAAATGGGAATCTGTTATTTTAAAAGTACCTACTCTAAGTCTTAGGAATTGATTCAAATTACACTAAGAGGTATAATCTAAAAAGCCACTTTGTCTTAGTAGACTAAGTTTCTAGAACATATTAGAAAAACAGCTGTATTTTTTTTTTCTCTGATAGAAACATGAAGTGGGCTTGCCGGAAGTGGGCTTAGCTGTCCATCTTCTCTTCAGTATTCTTGTAGTTTAGAAGCAAAAAATAAAAACACCACGTTGAAACACTAAAGTACAAAGAAGCTACCCATGTCAGAACCTTCAGTGTAGGGCAGTTCTCATAATAACTGTCATCCTTACATACTTTCTCCAGGCTTTTCCTGTAGCAAAGAAAACCTTCTGACTGCTTGTATTGGCCCCATTTGTAGCTAATCCATGTGAATGAGGCAGAATACATCATTTAGATACTTTGATGGGAATATTCCTGCCCATTGCTACTTTTGTCTGAAGGCATAAACATGAATTTTTGTTTCTGAATTTTGGGCTCTACTTATGGCAGAAAATCAAAGCAATCTTATTGTATACTCAACAGGGGAACTCAAAAAACTGTACAACTAGAGCGACTGTATTTGTTGTAGGTATTTGGATATTATGTTTCAATTGTAGGAAATTTTCAAACATTATATTGTTTCTCTTTCAGGGTGATAGATGGTCTGGAGACTCTAGATGAACTGGAGAAGTTACCCGTAAATGAGAAGACATATCGACCTCTTAATGATGTACACATTAAGGACATAACTATTCATGCCAACCCATTTGCTCAGTAGCTATAATAGACCTGGACAAATACTTGGCAAACTATTCAAGGAACACACCTATTATGGTTCACTCAGGTTTAATTATGTCAAAGATTGCAGCTTTGTTTACAACTAAGATCTTCTGTGAGGTGCTGGTACCAAGAGGGGACAAACACTGTTTAGTCCTATTTTTAGAGCATATTCTATGACTATCATCTAATGCATTTCTTTAATTTAAAAAAAAAAACCTGTGTTTAACTTTGTATTTTCATGTAAACATTCATTTTTAAATGCTGAGTGTCAAATGCAGGCATTTTTACATACTCCTACTTAATTACCTAATTACATACTCCTACCGTATCTAGTCCACATTGTGTTCAGTACAATTCAGTTGCTCAGTCATGTCTGACTCTTTGCAACCCCATAGACCACAGCACACCAGGCCTCCCTGTCCATCACCAACTCCTGGAGTTTACTCAAACTCATGTCCATTGAGTTGGTGATGCCATCCAGCCATCTCATCCTGTTGTCCCCTTCTTCCGCCTTCAATCTTTCCCAGCATCAGGGTCTTTTCAAATGAGTCAGGTCTTCGAATCAGGTGGCCAAAGTATTAGAGTTTCAGCTTCAGCATCAGTCCTTCCAAAGAATATTCAGGACTGATTTCCTTTAGGGTAGACTGGTTGGATCTCCTTGCAGTCCAAGAGACTCTTGAGCATCTTCTCCAACACCACAGTTCAAAAGCATCAATTCCTCAGCACTCAGCTTTCTGTATAGCCCAACTCTCACATCCATACATGACTAATGGAAAAACCATAGCTTTGACTAGACATACCTTTGTTGGCAAAGTAATGTCTCTGCTTTTTAATAAGCTGTCTAGATTGGTCATAACTTTTCTTCCAAGAAGCAAGTGTCTTTTACTTCCACGGCTATAGTCAGTCACCACCTGCAGTGATTTTGGAGCCCCCCCAAAATAAAATCTGTCATTGTTTCCCCATCTATTTGCCATGAAGTGATGGGACCAGATGCCATGATCTTAGTTTTCTGAATGTTGAGTTTTAAACCAATTTTTTCACTCTTTCACTTACATCAAGAGGCTTTTTAGTTCTTCGCTTTCTGCTATAAGGGTGGTGTCATCTGCATATCTGAGGTTATTGATATTTCTCTCAGCAATCTTGATTCCAGCTTGTGTTTGATCCAGTCCAGCATTTCACATGATGTACTCTGCATATAAGTTAAATAAACAGGGTGATGATACACAGCCTTAACATATTCCACATCCTAGAAATATTTCTATTAATTAACTATTTACTTTGTACAGTTATAGGAAAGATAAATAAAGAGATAGCCTAGAGAGGCCAGTCAATCCATTAGGTATTTTCCCTGGTGTTTAAATGTATAGTAAAGGCCCAGAGAAGTCCTGGAGTACAGTGAACACAGAATTCCCTAACTGATTTGCCCATGAAACATCTTTTTAAAGCATATCTTTTTTAAAAATGCAGGAATACATAAATGCAGGATAAGAGTTTTACAGATGATCCATTTGGAAAATACAATTAGTTGTAGAGTCCTGGTCTGGGTCTGAATCACAGCTCTGCCTCCTACTATTAACTAGGCAAGTTAACATCTCCAAGCTTTAATTTTCTCATCAATAATCCTCCATGACTCTTGTTAGGATTAAATGACACAGTGTGTTTAAAGCTGGTGTGGAGAAGTGTTCTGTAGCCAGTAAATGGAGGCTGCCTTCTTAACCATATCAGGCTTCTCACTTAATCAGGTCGTTTATCAGACTACACCATTGATTTGATCAAGATCTATGTCCTATTCAGTGTCTAGATCACCTGGATTAGACTTTGGGTGTTTCTAAAAATGATACAGAACATTTCTTTGTATCATTTCTGCAGATAGCTGATCTAATTAATGTCTTGATTCTTAGAGTGCAGTTTGGGAGTTAGCTTGCAGTTATACTCTTGTTACTATTGATGTCTCCCATACCTTCCAATAAACTGAGTGGCCAATTATATCAGTGCCCCTCAGGTTTTGTTTCACCTTTTTAATTTAAACATTAGTTTCTAGAATTAGTATTAAGGCCTTTTTTGGGTCAGAATTTGGTTTGCCACTTCTTATACTTGATATCTTTTTTCTCTTTTAACCACAAAAATAACAGCTGTGTTGTTTCCCATGGGAATGTTCTGGCAATTTCAAAATATAAAATACACCAAATAGTTACCCTATGACCAATAAAACCTCACATTGTTCATCCAAAGAGAAAATGTCTTTGGGCATTTTTCTGCAGCTTTATTGTTTTTGTTTATATGTAATGATGAAATAGTCTTTGAATTCTTCTGACTCTGTGATAGAATTTCATAAGGTGTTTAGACAGTGATTTGATTTCAGTCAGTCTAGTTATCCTAGAATATGTTATCAATCACAATCTGAAGTGATGATCTTTCCATAAACCTAGTATTTAAAATATTATTTTATCAATTTCTTTTTTCTTTACCCTGTTATGTCACATAGAGTTCATCTGTCAGAGTAAACCTAATGTGAACATCTTTGTTTATAAGATACTTGATGGAATACAGAAAAATAAGTCTTTGGTAGATCAGATAAGACTTTTTTTTTTGTCCCCATTCTTAAGGACATAATCCCTCAAACAAGCATGTGACTAGGAACATCAGGTCTCTGCTTTTACTCACTGTCCCACATATATGTGTTAATATACAATATTTGTTTTCCTCTTTCTGACTTTACTCTATGACAGTCTCTAAATCCATTCACCCTTGATATATTTCTTCTCCAAACATATCATTGAATTTTGTCACCACCCTTAAGAGTATTTTACTGATTGTCAGGATGTTTTTGTACTGACTGACATTCCCTCAATTTTTTTTCCAAACTGTGCCATTGTTTTTTTTAGTGTTGCCAATATGGAGACTTTTGGGTTCTTCGAACTCATTCTTAGGTCTGCTCAGCTGTACCCATAAGGATCTCATAGGTAAGGAAGTATATTGACTGCACCCATGGGCCTCTTGTAGGTAGTGAGGATCAAAACTAAGAACACTGATTTCTGTCCACTCACATTGAGTTGACTGGTTCACTGATCACATTAGCAATTGGGTGACTGATTTCTGTTCCATACATTGAAAGTCAAAGTGTTAGTTGCTCAATTGTGTCCAACTCTTAGCGACCCCATGGATTATAGCCTACCAGGTTCCTCTGTCCATGGAACTGTCTATGCAAGAATACCGGGCTGGGTAACCTTTCCCTTCTCCAAGGGATCTTTCCAACCCAGGGATCGAACCTGGGTCTTCTACATTGCAGGCAGGCCCTTTACTGTCTGAGCCACCAGGAAAGCCCATAAACTACTAGGAAGACTAGAATGTTGCTGATCAACCCAAATTCTCTTTAAAATGAAATTAATATTCCACATCTAGACTAGAGGTTGGGAAACTGCAGCCCTCAGCTTTTGCAAGTAACATTTTCTTAGAACTCTGCCATTCCTATGTTTATGCAGGGAGTCTGGCTGTTCTACAGCAGCTGAGTTGATTGGCTGTGACAGAGACCAAATATCCTGCAAGCCTAGAATATTTACTATCTGGCCCTTTCAGAAACAGTTTGCCAACCCTTGATCTAGACTATCAGCAGTTGCCAGATAATCATGGTTTCACAGCAGAGGGAGTAGGATGCGTCCAAGGGACAGTATAAACAAACTATCCCTGAAACCTTCTCTGCTGTAGAAATGTACCTGAATTCATTAGAATTCCTCAGTCCTGTTAGATTTTGGTTTGGAGTTCTCTTTTGAGTAGAAGGCTTGCAGACCTTTTGTTTTGGTTAATGGCAAATTGAGTAGTTGAAATTTATATCTTGGTTGAACTTGGAAATTTCCAGATCCATTTAGTAACACATTTATACTCTCTATGTTGGGTATTTCTGAAGATACGTTTAATTACTAAAACTAGTAATTTATTAAGCTTCTTCCAGGTTTGGAGACAAAGGTGCATACGACACTGCCTACTCTGTGGGAGCTCAGTCTGTGAAGCTAACAGGCATGTAAATAGATAAATTTTAATACATAGAACTCAACTTTTAATCAATTTAGTAAAGTGGATAGATTAGTTACTATTTCACCAATGGGTTGAAAAGAAAACTGATGCATTTTTTCAGTTCAATTTGTACCAACTGTGGCTCAGGTAAGTGATGGGAACTCCATATAATAATTTTAAAATAAATTTACAAAAAAATGATAAAAGAATTTTAAAAATATAATGAAAAGGAATTAACCCCAATTTTTATAAAGCAGCAAATATTAAAAGTGTTATAATGTGAGGAATGAGGCTAGAATAATAGTGTAGGACTTCCCTGGTGGTTCAGTGGTTAAGACTCCATGCTTCCAACGCAGGGAGCAAGGTTCAATCCCTGGTTGGGAAACTTAACAGTGTATGCATAGTTTATTTAAAGCAGTATCCAGGAGCTTCACTGGTGGCTCGGTGATAAAGAATCTGCCTGTTAATGCAGGAAACACAGGTTCAATCCCTGAACTGGGAAGATCCCACATACCTCAGAGCACTAAATCCATGCACCCTAGAGCCCATGCTCTGCAACAAGAGAAGCCACTGCAATGAGAAGCCCACATACTGCAACTTGAGAAAGCCCACACACAGAAACGAAGACCCAACACAGCCAAAAATAAATAAACATTAAAAATTTTTTAAAAAGCAAGATCCAAAATCATTTTTTTTAAAAGAGAAGAGTTATTCTATAATTTGTGTTAGGGTAACTGGTAAATGACACAGAGAAAAGCAAAAGAATTCACATGATATACCAAAATTCAAGATAGGTAAAAGAGTTGCCTATTTAAAGAATATACAAGAAAAAACTAAAACATTTCAAAGAATTCCTCTGAAGAGGAAAGGAATTTCTCAGTTTACAAACTTGATAAAGGCAAAGATGAAATGGGTTTAACTGAATGCAAATAGGACAAAAGAGAGTTGTACATTCAAAAAAGGAATAGATATGAATGGGCAAGTCACAAGAGAAAAATGTTCAACCTCACTAATTAGAAACCAAAGTTACAAGTTCAGTATCCACCAAAATAACATTTTTTAATGTTATGCACTAAGAGCAGCCAAAACAAAGTACTGTATCAGAGACTGGGTGGCTTTAACAACAGAAAATTTTCTTAGAGTTCTAGAGACTAGAAGTTGGGAGGTCAAGGTGTGGGCAGGGTTGTTTACTCTTGAGGCCATTCTCCTTGGCTTGTAGATGACCATCTCCTGTCCTAACCTCATCATTCCTCTGAGTGTGTTTCCTAGTCTCTTTTTATGCCATACTACAGTCCTCCGCTCTACCAGCTGAGCTATTGAAGGGTGCACCCTAGTCTCTTTTTAGAAAGGCACCAGCTAAACTGAATTAGGTCTCTCCCTAATGACCTCATTTAATCCTACTTATCTCTGTAAAGACACTATTTACTGCCAACTGAAAAATGCTACTTTCCATCTGGTTCTACAGTATAAGAATGAAGTCACTAGCCACTGCAGTCGCTGACTTTTGACACACCTTAAAAGGAGTTTGCTTTGGGAGAAACTGGCAGAACACACCTTCAAATAGGTATTTTCAGGAAAATATTTTTTGAGCTCAATTTCTTGCATCTTCTCATATCTAGAAAAGCACTAAAATCATTAATGGAAACATCTGCCCCTCTGTCATCAGCAGCAACTTTCTGCCAAGATATGTGCTTTCTGGCACTAACTCCTTTCAGTAAAACCACATGTAATACTGACTTCTCTCCCTACCTCTTGGGAGCAGTTCCTAAGAGCTACTGGCGAGGCTGTCTCTGGGTATTTTGCCTCAAAAAACACTTAACTCACAACTCTTTTTGCCTTTTCATACCGTTCATGAGACTCTCAAGGCAAGAATACTGAAGTGGTTTGCCATTCCATTCTCCAGTGGACCATATTTTGTCCGGTCCTAATTAACAGACACGCCCTTCTGCCACTCAATACAGCTGGATGACACGCCTGGTGCCCTGGCTGTCCCACTGCTGGTGTCTGCTGAACTTGTTTAAACCTTAACTGGCTGTTGAGTGTCGGTCAATGTGCAGCCAGGAGTCAAGACAAAGGCCCTACTAGAGTGGCTGGGAGGGGGTCTGGGGAAGGCTGGAGGTGATGTTGTTGTTGATGTCCAGCACCTCGGGTTCACTGCTGCCTTTGACTGCCCTGGGGCTGATCCGCTGCTCAGGAGTCACTGTCAGCCGTGGAGCCAATCACCTACCCAGGAGGCACTGGTCACCTGATGCTGAAGCTCCAATACTTTGGCCACCAGATGTGGAGAGATGACTCATTGGAAAAGACCCTGATGCTTGGAAAGATTGAAGGCAGGAGGAGAAGGGGGTGACAGAGAATGAGATGGTTGTATGGCATCACTGATTCAATGGACATGAGTTTGAGCAAACTCAGGGAGATAGTGATAGACAGAGAAGCCTGGTGTGCTGCAGCTCATGGGGGTCACAAAGAGTCAGACACAAAATAGCACCTGAACAACACAACTCTCACACTGTGCATTTTTTCCAGTGACACTACACATTCTGAAATAGTGGGAGCTAGGACTTAAAACTATGAATATGTGTGGAGGTGGAGACACAGCCCTTCAAACAGCCCATAACATGCATTAACACTAAAATAGTTAATAAACGAAACGTTGGATATATCCCAAATCACTAATTGGTTAGATATGGGCTTTGTTAAATTTAAAATCACTTTGGAAAACAAGTACAAGATTTCTTCACCTTTTACCCAGCAATTTTACAATGAGGAATTCTCCTAAAGAAATTAAACATATCAACTTGCACAAGCTGGAATCAAGATTGCTGGGAGAAAGATCAATAACCTCAGATATGCAGATGACATCACCCTTATGGCAGAAAATGAGGAAGAACTAAAGAGCCTCTTGATGAAAGTGAAAGAGGAGAATGAAAAAGTTTGCTTAAAGCTCAACATTCAGAAAACTAAGATCATGTCATCTGGTCCCATCACTTCATGGGAAACAGATGGAGAAACTGGCTGACTTTATTTTTCTGGGCTCCAAAATCACTGCAGATGGTGACTGCAGCCATGAAATTAAAAGACGCTTACTCCTTGGAAGGAAAGTTATGACCACTCTAGACAGAATATTAAAAAGCAGAGACATTACTTTGCCAACAAAGGTCCGTCTAGGCAAGGCTATGGTTTTTCCAGTGGTCATGTATGGATGTGAGAGTTGGACTATAAAGAAAGCTGAGTGCAGAAGAATTGATGCTTTTGAATTGTGGTGTTGAAGAAGACTCTTGAGAGTCCCTTGGACTGCAAGGAGCTCCAACCAGTCCATCCTAAAGGAAATCAGTCCTGGGTGTTCATTGGAAGGACGGATGTTAAGCTGAAACTCCAATTTTTTGGCCACCTGATATGAAGAGCTGACTCATTTGAAAAGCCCCTGATGTTGGGAAAGAATGAGAGGAGGAGGAGAAGGGGAAAACAGAGGATGAGATGGTTGGATGGCATCACCGACTCAATGGACATAAGTTTGGGTAGACTCCAGGAGTTGGTGATGGACAGGGAGGCCTGGTGTGCTGTGGTTCATGGGGTCACAAAGAGCCTAACACAATTGAGCGACTGAACTGAACTTGCTCTCTGTACAGTCATTTGCTGCAACTTTGACCTGTGTTAGTAGAATATGGTTAATACCCATATTTAGATTGCTGTTAGAATTAAGTGAGAACCTATGCTCAGTGTTAACACAATGTGATTAACTATTATACTCCAAAGACTGGGATTCCCTATGTTTTGGTTAACATTTAAATGTGCTGAGAAACATATACTTAATAGCATATTTCATAAGTTATGGTGAGAAATTTCTCCCTTACAAGTGAAACACTAACCTTAAATTTAGTGATCCTGATCCCATATAAAAATCTAGGTATTAAAGATTTTAAAGCATTTTCAGAGACGAGGCTTAAGAAATGCAAACCACCATTGGAATTTGGGGAATTCCTATGTGTATTCCTCCTCATCACTTTACGCTACAGTACTCCACCTGTAATGGGCAGGTTATCTACGTTGCTCTCCTGTGCAAAAAACACCAGTATGCTCCATCTTCATGCGTGATAACTTTCCTTTTTCAGTTTACCTGACCTTTACACCTTAGAGGCTTCACTTAACGCGGAAATGTTGCTTTCCTGTGGAGTCCCACTTCCTGTCTCCAGGCTCTGGCTCTCACATTTCGATTTTTAAAATCTCGGTAAAAATCTTTACAATCTAACCTCAGTGAGTGTGGGTCTCAGTCACGTAAGATTTAACTAGTTTTAAAATGTCTCAGAACAAAAGCCCAAATCCAGACAATTCCTAATTTGGGGCTACTTGATGCAGATGGTGTAATCTTTCAGTTTAAGCGGTTGCAATCAGGACACACGCTACTTTGTACCCGCTTCCCCCATTTTTCTTCATTTCTAGTGTTCATGAACACAATTTTTAGTGAGGATGAACAAGTCTTTTCTACCCAACACATTGTTTTCTCAGAGAACGGAGACCGAGGCCAAAATGGCCGCTGACAAAGCCTTGCCTCAGTCCACCTATTGTCTCTGAGCTCCCACCCAGCGCCTGCGCATAAGGCTCACCAGCTCAGCCCTACGCGCGTGCACGCCCCGCCCCGCCCCCTCCGGAGGCGGAGACGCGCTTGCCTAGTCATCTTGTTTTCCAAGAGTCCCGACGCTGCGGTAGTCAGCTCCATACTGCCGTAGGAGCTTGTCGCAGCCAGTTGGGTTTTCTCCGTGGTCGTGTTGCAAGCATTGCCTCCTTAGGCTTGGACTCTCTGGCCAGGACGGTAAGACGCAGGGAGAAGCGGGCTAGATGTGGGGACCCCCTTTTGTGCCTCGAGAACGCCCGTGAAGCTCCCCCACAGGCTTGTTGGCCGCCCGCAGTCTCTGGCGAGGTGCTCTTTTCTTCTCCGCCTCCCTTTCCCCTCCCCTAGCTGTAGAAAGATGGTCCGCTCGTATTCCAAACTTTGTCAAGGCCGTTGCTGCGAATTTCTGTGTGATCCGCGACGAAGAGTTCGCTAGGCGGGCAGAGGTTCTCGAACGTTTGTCTTCCCCGGAGGAAGCGGGGAGGGCCGAGCCCTGGCCTCCGCGGCCGCCATGTTGTCTGCGACGGCAGGCCTCGGACAGGCTCTTAAGATGGCGGCGGGGTGGGGGTGGGGGGAGGTTGGCGGTTGGCGATGATTTGGGTTCTGGAATGTGTTTAAGTCACGCTCTTCTGAGGAACTGTGCTCTTAGCAAAGAAAAGAACACATTGACTCGATGTAAGGCGACTCGAAAGAAAATGGCGAGTGAATTTGCCCTCAGTGGTGAAAGCAAAAGTTAGATATAGGAACTCAAGGAAACAGGAATAATATGGTGTAGTTGAAGGGGCGTGTGAGAAGTCGGGTGATCGGGCCTTTTAGGCGTGGATGTTTCTGCCGCCCCGTCTTGGAACAATTGGAGCGTCTTGATTTCGACGCTTGTGTTTGTGTAGAGTCGAGATGGAGCCCGGGTGTTAGTACTGGTATGAGCGGTGGTTGATGGAAAGTCGTTTCTGTATAATGTCTTTTTCAAGTTAGGAATTTGTAGTTTTGGCAGGAAAGGATTTCCCTCATAGTTGGGTAATGATGACTTTTGAGCTTTGATTTAAAAGAAGTTAAAACGTCACAACTCGAATGAATTTTAGAGGACGAGTTTTATTAAAATGTTGACATGTGGGATACAACTTAACCGGGAAAATTTGTCTTTTATGTAGATGAGACACTCAAAAAGAAGTTACTGTCCCGATTGGGATGAAAAAGATTGGGATTATGGAAAATGGAGGAGCAGCAGCGGCAGTCATAAAAGAAAAAAGAGATCGCATAGCAGTGCCCGGGAGAACAAGCGCTGCAGATACGATTACTCTAAAACATCTGATAGGTAAGGAGGGTTCTTAGTATCTCAGTAGGAAAATACTTCCATTACAATATTAACATGTCAGTTTGATTTCAGTAAAACTGGTGGGGAATACATTTTCATTATTAAAACTAGAACTGACTTAAAATAACGGATGCATTGCTGTTTTCAGCTATGGTTGTAAAATTGGAAGTCTGTTTTTCGGTGGGAAAAAAATTTTTAATGAGTACTATTTTAAGAGATTTACTGAAAATTCGAGGATATTTGATACCAACATAAAAGCATTGAAAAAAACAAATTCTTTTTCTAGCTATTACCTGGAAAGCAGATCCTTAAATGAGAAAGATTATCATAGTCGACGCTACATTGATGAATACAGAAATGACTACAGTCAAGGATGTGAACCTGGACATCGACATAGAGATTATGAAAGCAGATATCAGAACCATAGTAGCAAGTCCTCTTGTAGAAGTGGGAGAAGTAGTTATAAAAGCAAACACAGAATTCACGACAGCACTTCATATCATCGTTCACATGGGGTATGAGCTCTTTTAAATTTTTTGGAACTTATATTTCCCATGTGGAACAGGAAAACTTGAATTTGTGTTTGATCATTTGAGAAAGTTCTATTTAAGATGAAGTCATTTCAGTTTTAACTTGCAGGATTCTTTGTGCATTGGGTAGGGAATTCCTTAAATACAGTACATGTTTAATTTTATATGGTAACAGATTTTATTAATCATTGGCAACTGATTGTCATTCCAGTGAAATAGTGGAGATAATGTCTGTTAGTTTATAGCAGGGATTACAAAATATTCTGAAAATATTTTTATGGTACTTTGAGAAATTTGATTTGCTTTGATAAATGAAAGTCTTACCTACAAGTAGGATTTTTATATTTGTATGATTAAGGATTATGCTTTGCCTTTGTTCTGGCTAATCCTTTTATCACTAAAAAACAGACTTGAACATTATGGGTTGGTTATGTGTTAATTTGGAGCTCAAGCTCAGATGACATTTTAAATACTGTAGTGTTACTTTTGTATACCAATTTTTTTTTCTCCCCAGCGTTAGAATTTTTATTTTATTTACTGTTTCGATGTTTGTTTTCTTAGATTAGTTAGGAAATTATAATTTGGCCACAGTCTACTTTTGACAAGTAAATAATTACATTCTACAATTTTGCAACATTAAATTAGGACACTAGAAACTTAAGTTATGATTCAGTGAATGCTACAACTAAGCATTTTTTTTTTTTTAAGAGAAACAATTGTATTATGTTTTGTTACCTTGCCACTTTGAGTATCTTATCTGAAAATCTGTTCCTTGCCATGTTTTTCTCCTGTTAACATAAACTATGTGCCCTGTGAATTTCTGGGGACTGAATTTGAAATTGCTCCTGCCAACCGTTTGTGGCCTGGCGTGTATCTGAATGCCTGAATATCTCCCCGCTGAATGAATTTCGTATTCTGCCCTGAATTCACTCGGGTATATTGATTGGCTGGATGATCTTGGTGCCGCGCACTTGACGTTTCCAGAAGAGTCACCGAAGGAAAAGAACCAGGAGTGTAGAGGATGATGAGGAGGGTCACCTGATCTGTCAGAGTGGAGACGTACTAAGTGCAAGATGTATAGAATATTTTTCAACACTTATTAACTTTTCAGATAACATAATCTATTTATAGATTAAGATTTCAGGGATTTGGAAATCTTTTTTCTTTCTCTGTTTTGTTTGTTTTGTTTTTTCCATTTCTTTTGGTGGGGGGGGATTGTGTTTTTGCTTTCTTTAGAAATTTAATGTTATATAGAACTTCCAAAACAGTAAATCAAAGTTAATGAAAGTAGCTTAAGAATGAAATTAGACCTAAAAATAGTTATATATGTTTTTTGGCAGTGTTGACCAATAAACTATCTAGTGATAAGGAAATTTGTAGCATCAACTAGAATAATCTGCATTTGATAGCCTTTATTGTAAGTAAACTGTTTTAACTTCTTGGTATAACTGAGTTTTATTTCTCTCTTTTAGATGAAATTGTTGATACTTTAGGTGAAGGAGCTTTTGGAAAAGTTGTGGAGTGCATTGATCATAAAGCGTAAGTTTCTTGGTCTGAAATTGGACTTGGGAAGGTGAACAGTACAGAAAATACATATGGTTTTAAGGATATGATCTGACCATGAATCAGTTATTGTCATTATACCCTTTCAGCTTAGGTTTTTATTTTAGATACAGGAAACAGTAAAGTTACTAGCCCTTTGTGTTGAGGCAGTACCTGTTTATGGTGCATAAACTGCTTCTACAAGCTGAGAACAGATTTTATTGTGTCAGAAGGTATTTTTTTGTTATCCCACTGGGTACAGTTCTGTGTGGTTTTTTTTTTTTTTTTTCCTAGATGAGTTTTTAGCCTTGGTTTCATGTTAGGAGTCTGGAGACTTCCTTACCCCAGACCTTGAACCAGTCTTCAGGAACCTATATTTTTAGAAAGTGACATAACTGATACTAGTAACAAAAGCTAGGACTAAAAACTTTGTAGATTGGTGTCATAAATTTATCCATGTCTTTCAAACAACTAATTGAAATAAGATAGGAAATTTCTTTTGTCTCTTGTTTGAATTTCTTTCTCTTTAGGGGTGACAAAGCCTTTCTAAATGAATTATTAGAGGAGGCTTCCTACTATTGGTTGGTAAGGTTCTAAGAACTAGCAGTCTTTTATTTTACTGCCACTATTTCCCAACTTTTTTGGCAACCTGGTTCAAATGAAGATTAGCCAGTGACTGGTACTATAGGAAGAAAACTACTCCATGTATGTTTGTTTTATGTCTTAATTGGAATGTAAATTGAGGTGATAATGTCACAGTATTGTTAAATTAGAGCTGTTGGTGCATAGTTAAAGGACCAAAAAAAAAGGTCAGGTGAGTTTAAATGGGCTGATGAAAAAAATCTGTCATGCAACTTGTATCGACCCTACCATATTTCCAGAGGTCATTCTAGTTGCTTACACTGAGTTGAAGTTGGACATATAATTAGACATAACTATATGTGTATAATTACATGTAGTTAGACAACTGAATGCCAGACCATAAATTGGAAAAACAAATACTGCTTCAAAATAGAAGTAGGACAGTTTGAAGAGTGATTAAAAAAATGGATATATCTTTATTTTTTTTTTAATGTGGACTTCATTTTCTTAACAGGGGAGGTAGACATGTAGCAGTAAAAATAGTTAAAAATGTGGATAGATACTGTGAAGCAGCTCGCTCAGAAATACAAGTTCTGGAACACTTAAATACAACCGACCCTAGCAGTACATTGTAAGTATCAAAATAGAACTTGGGAAATGGCCTCAGGTAGATTTGAATTGTGAGAGGCTGTACTCAAAGTTGTTTTTTTTGTATGTTTATAGCCGCTGTGTCCAGATGTTGGAGTGGTTTGAGCATCATGGTCATGTCTGCATTGTGTTTGAACTATTGGGACTTAGTACTTACGACTTTATTAAGGAAAATGGTTTTCTGCCCTTTCGACTGGATCATATCAGGAGGATGGCATACCAGATATGCAAGTCTGTGAACTGTAAGTGCTTAACATATTCCAGAGTGAGACTGGTTTTAATGACCAATTTGGATATTTGAAAAAAATCTAACATACACTACTTGGTAGCCTGCCTTAAGAGTAGGTAGGGGAAAGATATAGTTGATAACAAGCTGTTGGTCAGTTTACTGCATATCATTCAGTAAATAAGCATATTGTCCAGCATGTAACAATATGTTATCCTGTATAACACTGATTAGCCTTTCTGATTGCTAAAAATGATAGTCTAGAACCACTGCATTAAAAATAAAGGAATGGCAAATCTCACCATCTTGACAACAATATACTACTTCACTTTTTAAACAGTTGGTTTTCAGTGAACTAACTTTAGAAAGGTGTAGTGGGTTTTAGTCCCTCATGGTTTTCTAACAGGCTGTTGAATGTTGACCACTTCTTCGGACATACGAAAATCAGAATTTTTGTTGCGGAGCTTTGTAGAGTTGCACGGTTTTTATAATACAGGAACTTTCTCTGTTTTGTTTTCAGTTTTACACAGTAATAAATTGACTCACACAGACTTAAAGCCTGAAAACATCTTATTTGTACAGTCTGACTACACAGAGGCATATAATCCCAAAATGGTAAGTCTTTGATGTTTTTATCTTCACACTTTGAAATTAATATTTTATGCCTCCTTAATATGCCTTCTTAACCATCATTTATGATTTTCAGAAACGTGATGAACGTACTTTAATAAATCCAGATATTAAAGTTGTAGACTTTGGAAGTGCAACATATGATGATGAACATCATAGTACATTGGTATCTACAAGACATTATAGGGCACCTGAAGTTATATTAGGTAAGAATTTCTTAATTATGCTTTGAGACCTGTTTTGATGCCACCTTTAAAATTTACTGTTCTAAGTGTTTGTGGGACTATCTTTTTCCATTTTAGGGGTTAGTATAATAAAACACATTAAGGATTTTAAACTTACTCCAAATGGTCAATTCTTTTAAGACTTTGAGAGATTGCTTAATCTTGCTAGATTTCAGTTTTCACATTTATAATACATGATGGTATTTTAAAACATAATAATTTAGTGCCTGTTACTTTCCTTATACTTGATGTTGGTGTTTGCATGGTGTAGCTTGCTCCCATTTTACAAGCTAATAAATGGAGACTTGGATGAAAATTTTTTTCCATAAGTCTGTTGTCCCAAAAAAGTAAGCCTGATTTGGGGCTTGAAACCAGATGTCTCCAGAGCCAGGATTCTTAACATACTATGCTATTGTGTTATGTTTAAGCTTGAATTAAGTGATCCCTTTAGGATCTTTCCAGCACAAATATCAAAGACAATAAGAAATATTGAGAATTTTTTCATTAACAGTTCGCTTTGCTTTGCAGCTTTAGGATGGTCCCAGCCATGTGATGTCTGGAGTATAGGATGTATTCTTATTGAATATTACCTTGGGTTTACAGTATTTCCAGTAAGTGACAATGATCTGTTTCAATAGCTTTGCCAAAGTGAATTGTCTGTTTATATGAATGGACACTTTAACACAAAATATACATGCATTTTAGGTAACACTTTTACCTTTTCAGGTGTAATTCTGACTTTCTTTCATAATTTATTTTATTTAAAACTTAGTTCTAAGTATATTACAAGTAATTATCTTTAAGAAATTTGTGGTGAATTTACTCTGTAGGCCTTTTTTTTTTTTTGGTAAGTTATAACTTGCTATAAGTGTACCTGATTTAGAGATCACATTCTTTGGTGACTGTAACTATCCAAAACAGCAGCTCTGTTAAATAAGAGCAAAACACAATGTGCAAGTAGAGGTAGTTAATAACTTTTCTTTATTATTTTAGACACATGATAGTAAGGAACATTTGGCAATGATGGAAAGGATTCTTGGGCCTTTACCAAAACACATGATACAGAAAACCAGGTATGTTTAAGAAAAAAATGCCATCAGTCGGTCACCTTTGCTAGATGTTTTTTAAGTTTTCATTGTCAACATTATAAACATGAATGGATATCAATTTATTCTTAGGAAACGTAAATATTTCCATCATGATCGATTAGACTGGGATGAACATAGTTCTGCTGGCAGATATGTTTCAAGGCGTTGTAAACCTCTGAAGGTAAGCCTGGGTCTTTGCTTAAATGATCAAAACCTTGAGTTTCTTTCATGGTAGGTAAATAAACTTAAATGCTAGTAGAAAAGGCTGTTGACTGTATTTCTTCTCCTTTCAGGAATTTATGCTTTCTCAAGATGCTGAACATGAGCTTCTCTTTGACCTTATTCAGAAAATGTTGGAGTATGAACCAGCTAAAAGGATCACTCTTAAAGAAGCCTTAAAGCATCCTTTCTTTTACCCCCTTAAAAAAGCTACATAAATCTATAATTGTATAGTTCCATTATAAGAGACCATATGGACTGTATCAGTCCCATTTTTAAATATTAAGTTATTTTGTACAGCTTTTGTAAATTTCTTGCAATTTTGTATTGCCATGGTTATTTTGTTTGGACGATTTAAGTAAATAGTAATGAATGTCCTTTTCAGTAATTACTGTATAAAATGATTATTCAGAATAAATTTTCTTATATTTATGAAATTTATATGAAGCTGTAGAGTTCATTTTTAGTATCATATTCTGTTACTGTAAGAATGGATGTATATCTCTGTGGAGTTTTCATTAAGTCTAGAAATTTTTGGCTTTGTTTGCAGTTTAGGAATTGCCTAAATTAGAACTTTGCGTTGGAACTTACACCTTCCTTCTCTGAACCAAATGTAATAAAACCAAGTTATAGAATACCAAGAACTAGAGATTAGCCAAACAAATTGTGTTTTCCCTTCACTCCCAAATTTAATACTGCTGCTTTCTCATCTCTCCCAGTGGGATTCTGCAAATGGCTTAAGGTGGTGAACCCCTTTAAGATTCATAACAGAAACTTCCAGAAATCCTTTGTGGCCAAATCTGAATCATCAAATAGACTGTAAACTCATGTTTTTGTTCGTGGCTTTAAACTCCTTGGTCCATTTAGGATTGAACATGGTGGGCTTTATAGTTGCAGATTCATAGCAAAATAGAGAAGAAAGTGCAGAGTATATACCACTTCATCCACCCATAGGTAGCCTCTCCCCTGCCCCCCCATTATCCACATCCCTCATGTGTTAAGCATTATAGGATACAAAGTGTTTTCATTGCTCTAAAAAAATCTGCTCTATTCCTCCTTAACCTCCCCCAGCCACTATTTTTACTGGTTTATCTCCCAACCACTGCTATTTTTACTGTTTTGTCTAGAATTTGGAATAGTTGGACTCACATACATAGTCTTCAAATGGGTTTTTATAAGATATTTATGATAAAGACAACTATGAACTGGACAAAGACTAAATACAAATGTTTCAGAAGGAACTGGGGTAAAAATTACATAGTAATACTGCCAAGTCTCTGTGAGAGTATTCAAGTTCTCGTCTTGAGTTTGTAGCAGTTTACCTACACTGGGTGGTACCGTGTAAATAGTGAAAGCTGCCATTCTATGTGGTAGTTTTGGGGTACTTAACTCTTTCACTTTTCAGAAATCCTCAGGTCCTTAAGTAGGCTAAAGTCTACTCTGCTAGTGCTCTGTAAATGGAAGGAACAGCATAGCTTGGATGACAGCGTATCTATTGACAACGTTTACTGAAAATTTTAAGCCCACTGTTAGACCTGACTGCTCAGAAAAGATTTCTTTCAAAGTGCTACTGTTTATTGACAGTGCTTCCCAGGTGGCGCTAGTGGTAAAGAATCCGCCTGCCAATGCAGTAGAAATTTGATAAGTGGGTTGGGAAGATCCCCTGGAGGAGCGCATGGCAACCCACCCCAGTATTCTTGCCTAGAGAATTCCATGGACAGAGGAGCCTGGTAGTCTGTAGGGTCACGAAGATTGAAGACACAACTGAAGCAACTTAGCACAATAGCAGAAATGACAACATTCCTAAGAGCTCTGAGGGGAGATGGACAAGGAAATTTAATGTTTTCATGCCTGCTAACAGCATCCATTTTGCAGCCCATGGATCAAGGAGTAATTTCAACTTGACAGTTCTTTTTATTTAAGTAATAAGCTACAGCTGTCATAGATAGTGATTCCTCTAATGGATCCTGGACAGTCAATTGAAAGGAAAAAAAATGAAAAGGATTCACAATTCTGGATACTGTTAAGAACATTTGTGATTCATAGGAAGAGATCAAAATATTAACAAGAGACATTTATTCCAATTCTGGAAGACTTTGAGGGACTCAAGCGTTCAGTGGAAGAAATAACTGCAGATGTGGTGAAAATAGGGAATTAGAAGTGGAACCTGAAGATGTGGTCGAGTCCCTGCAACCTCATATACAACTTGAATGAATGAGGAGGTATTACTTTTCAGTGAGCAAAGAGACTGGTTTCTTGAGATGGAACCTACTCTTGGTGGAGATGCTATTAATATAATTAATAAATATATAATACCATATGAATATTACATAAATTTAGTTGTTGGAGTAGTAGAGTTTAAGAGGATCAAATCCAATTTTGAAAGAAGTTCTGGTAATACTGTGTGTAAAATACTATCAAACTGTACTGCATGATACAGAGAAATCCTTCATGAAAGGAAGGGTGAATTGGTGTGGTAAACTTTTCTTGGTTTAAGAAATTGGCACAGCCACCTCAACCTTCAGCAAACAACACCCTGATCAGTTAGCACTGAGGGAAGATCAGGAATCGTGGTTCCTCAGCATTGAGGGAAGACCAGCAAAAAGATTAGGACTCACTGACTCATTAGTATTTTTTAACTATCAGTTAAGTTGCTGTTCAGTTGTGTCTGACTCTTTACTACCCCATGAACCGCGGTATGTCAGGCTTCCCTGTCCATCACCAACTCCCGGAGTTTACTCAAACTCGTGTCCATTGAGTCGGTGATGCCATCCAACCATCTCTGTCGTCCCCTTCTGCCTTCAATCTTAGCGTCAGGGTCTTTTCAAATGAGTCAGTTCTTTGCATCAGGTGGCCAAAGTATTGCAGTTTCAGCTTCAACATCAAAGTCCTTCCAATGAACACTCAGGACTGATCTCCTTTAGGACGGACTGGTTGGATCTTCCTGCAGTCCAAGGGTCTCTCAAGAGTCTTCTGCAACACCACAGTTCAAAAGCATCAATTCTTCTGTGCTTAGCTTTCTTTATAGTCCAACTCTCACATCCATACATGACCACTGGAAAAACCATAGCCTTGACTAGATCGACCTTTGTTGGCAAAGCAATGTCTCTGCTTTTTAATATGCTGTCTAGGTTTGTCATAACTTTCCTACCAAGGAGTAAGCATCTTTTAATTTCATGGCTGCAGTCACCATCTGCAGTGATTTTGGAGCCCCCCAAAATAAATTCAGCCAGTTTCCCCATCTATTTGCCATGAAGTGATGGGACCAGGTGCCATAATCTTAGTTTTCTGAATGTTGAGCTTTAAGCCAACTTTTTCACTCTCCTCTTTCACTTTCATCAAGAGGCTCTTTAGTTCTTCCTCACTTTCTGCCATAAGGGTGGTGTCATCTGCATATATGAGGTTATTGATATTTCTCCCAGAAATCTTGATTCCAGCCTGTGCTTCATCCAGCCCAGAGTTTCTCATGATGTACTCTGCATATAAGTTAAATAGCAGGGTGACAACATTCAGCCTTGTTTTTAGCAATAAAGTTATAAAATTAAGAAATGTATGTTGCTTTATAGACATAACACTTAAATAAACTACAGTATGAAAAAAAAGACTACAGTTTGGTGTAATTTATAGTTTGTATATGCACTGTTGGGAAACCAAAAGATTAGTGTGTGTTGCTTTATTATGATACTCTCTTTATTGCAGTTGTTTAGACTCAAACCAGCAATATCTCCTAGGTATCCCCATAGAGGAAAGACAGATCATCTTGATCCAATCCGGTACTGAGCTGATTTGAAACTAGGCTTCAGTCTTTCTCAGGGCAAATCTATGTCCAGTCTACTGTCTTCTTTTTTCAATATCTTTTGTTAATTTTTTAAACTATTACTTATTTTTGGCTGTTTGGGGACTTTGTTGCTGCACATGGGCTTTCTCTAGTTACGGCGAGTGGGGGTTACTCTCTTTGTGGTGCTTGGGCTTCTCATTGCAGTGGTTTTTCCTGTGGAGCACAGACTCCAGGGTGTGTGCACTTCAGTAGTTGGCAGCTCCTGGGCTCTAGAGCAGAGGCTCAATAGTTGTGGCATAAGGACTTAGTTGCTCTGCAGCCAGTGGGAACTTCTCAGATCAGGGATTGAACCCCTGTCTTCTATGCTGACAAGCAGATTTTTTAAAATTATTTTTTACTGAAGGATAGTTGCTTTACAGAATTTTGTTTTCTGTCAAACCTCAACATGAATCAGCCATAGGTTTACATAGATCCCCACCCTTTTGAACTTCCCTCCCATCTCCCTCCCCATCCCACCTCTCTAGGTTGATACAGAGCCCCTGTTTGAGTTTCCTGAGACATAACAGCAAATTCCTGTTGGCTATCTATTTCACACATGTTGATGTAAGTTTCTGTGTTACTCTTTCCATACAGCTCACCCTCTCCTGCCCTCTCCCCATGCCCACAAGTCTATGCTCTGTGTCTGTTTCTCCATTGCTGCCCTGTAAGTAAATTCTTCAGTACCATTTTTCTAGATTCTATATATACGCTTTAGAATACAATACTTACCTTTCTGTTTCTGACAGATGGTTCTAGGTTCATTCCCCCCCCCCCCATTTAAAACTGACTCAAATACGTTCCTTTTTATGGCTGAGTAACATTCTATTGTGTGTATGTACCACAACTTCTTTATCCATTCATCTGTCGATGGACATCTAGGTTGCATCCATGTTCTAGCTATTGTAAATACTGCTGCAGTGAACATTGGGATACACGTTTGTGTCTTTTTCAGTTTTGGTTTCCTCAGGATATATGCCTACAAGTGGAATTGCCGGGTCATATGGTGGTTTTTATTCCTAGTTTTTTAAGGAATCTCCACACTGTCTTCCATAGTGGCTGTATCAATTTACATTCCCATGAACAGTGCAAGAGTGTTCCCTTTCGTCCACACCCTCTCCAGCACTTATTGTGTGTAGACTTTCTGATGATGGCCATTCTGACTGGTGTGAGGTGATACTTCATTGTAGTTTTGGTTTGCATTTCTCTAATAATGAGTGATGTTGAGCATCTTTTTATGTGTTTGTTAGCCATCTGTGTGTCTTCTTTGGGGAAATGTCTGTTTAGGTCTTTTCCGCCACTTTCTGATTTGGTTGTTTGTTTCTCTGGTATTGAGTTGTATGAGCTGCTTGTATGTTTTGGAAATTAATCCTTTGTCAGTCTCATTTGCTATTATTTTCTCCCATTCTGAGAGTTGTCTTTTCACCTTGATTTGCTGTGCAAAAGCTTTTAAATTTAATCAGGTCCCACTTGTTTACTTTTATTTCCATTACTCTAGGAGGTGGGTCATAGAGGATCTTGCTTTGATTTATGTCATCGAGTGTTCTGCCTGTGTTTTCCTCTATAAGAGTTTTCCAGTTTCTGGTCTTACATTTAGGTCTTTAATCCATTTTGACTTTATCTTTGTGTATAGTATTAGGAATTGTTCTAATTTCTTTCTTCTACATGCAGCTGTCTAGTTTTCACAGCACCATTTATTGAAGAGGCTGTCTTTGTCCCATTGTATATTCTTGCCTCCTTTGTCAAAAATAAGGTCCCACAGGTGCATGGGTTTATTTCTGGGCTTTCTATCTTGTTCCATTGGTCTGTATTTCTGTGTTTGTGTCAGCACCATACTGTCTTGATGACTGTGGCTTTGTAGCATATTCTGAAGTCAGGAAGGTTGATTCCTCCAGCTCCATTCTTCCTCAAGACTGCTTTGGCTATCTGGGGTCTTTTGTGTTTCCGTATGAATTGTGAAATTTTTTGTTCTAGTTCTGTGAAGAATGTCATTGGTAATTTGATTGGGATTGCATTGAATCTGTAGATTGTGTTTGATAGTATAGTCATTTTTACAATATTGGCTCTTCCTACCCAGGAACATGGAGTATCTCTCCATCTATTTGTCATCTTTGATTTCTTTCATTAATGCCTTATAATTTTCTGTGTACAGTTCTTTTGTCTCCTTAGGTAGGTTCTTTTTGCTGCAATGGTGAATGGGATTGATTCCTTAATTTCTCTTTCTGATTTTTCATTGTTAATGTATAAAAATGCAGGTGATTTCTGTGTATTTCGTATCCTGCAACTTTGCTAAATTCACTGATTAGCTCTAGTAATTTTCTGATACTGTCTTTAGGGTTTTCTTATGTATAGTATCATGTCATCTGCAGTGAGAGCTTTTCTTCTTTTCCAGTCTGGATTCCTTTTATTTCTTCTTCTTCTGATTGCTGTAGCTAGAATTTCCGGAACTATGTTGAATAATAGTGGTGAAAGTGGACACCCTTGTCTTGTTCCTGATCTTAGGGGGAATGCTTTCAATTTTTCACCATTGAGAATAATGTTTGCTGTAGGCTTATTGTATATGGCCTTTACTGTGTTGAGGTAGGCTCCTTCTGTGCCCATTTTTGAAGAGTTTTAATCATAAATGGGTGCTGAACTTTGTCAAAGGCTTTTTCTGCATCTATTGAGATTATCATATGGTTTTTATCTTTCAATTTGTTAATATGGTGTATCACATTGATTGATATGTGTATATTGAAGAATCCTCTCATCCCTGGAATGAACCCAACTTGATCATGGTGTTTGAGTTTTTGGATGTGTTGCTGAATTCTGTTTGCTAAGATTTTGTTGAGGATTTTTGCATCTATGTTCATCAGTGATATTGGCCTGTAGTTTTCTTTTTTTGTGTTATTTTTTTCTGATTTTGGTATTAGGGTGATGGTGGCCTCGTAAAATGAGTTTGGGAGTGTTCCTTCCTCTGCAAATTTTTGAAAGTTTTAGAAGGATAGGCATTAGCTCTTCTCTAAATGTTTGATAGAATTCTCCTGTGAAGCCATCTGGTCCTGGGCTTTTGGATTTTGCGAGATT